CTCATGTTTTTCTGTGAATTTAAATTACATTACAGTATATGTATATGGTTATAGAGCGAAGGTTTAAATGATATGTGGGGGGGGGGGGGGGTTATTACGATGGTTATTTATTGGTTTGTCGCTGTTATCATTTATTGTAGTAATTATTTGTGTTGTTTAACACAGAGGGGATGTCCTTTTTCACTGGATCTGTCTCGACGCGGCGCGCGCATACGCATTGATTGCTCTTTGCTCTTAAGTTTATCAGCAGGGAATTAATAGCCGGCATTTTCTACAGATTATACCAATGGAATTGTATTGGAGGTGCGCGCGTTTGTGTGTTGCGTTTGTTGCGGCTTTTTAAGGGAATGTTTTAGGCGGTACACGGACACACACACACTTTTGTCTCGACAATCTTTCGTTAGCTTTGTACAGAAGAAGAAGAAAAAAAAAGACACCCACGGCGGAGGGGAAATGCGCTCAGCTCCACGGTGTGCGACTCAGCATTACAACTTTGGGATTCTTGAAATCGCTTTTGTGTTTTTTTTATATTGTATTGTGTTTTTTTGTAACCAAGGAGTTGTGGTCCGAATCCAAGGCTGCTCGTTTCGCAGACTTTGCGTTAAGTATTTTTAAAGGGTGTGGTGATTTGTCGTTTCATACTCCCCCCCACCCCCCCCCCCGGGCCACCTCCTGAACCCGCGACGTTGACCTGATCAATTAGTTCACAAAGGAAACTCTTCCAACGCCCTATCCACAATTTTGGACTCTGTCGACGGTGGGATTTTAAGAAACGCCGAGCGTTGTTTTTAGGGATTTGTGTTTTGTTCGCGCTACGTTTCAAAGTTTCTTCTTTCCCGTGTTTTGTTGGCCCGACGGAAAACTGGAATTTTGTGATGGGGCCACGGAGTTTATTTTGGGTGTCCAGGATATTTTGTGGGTGGAAAATGAATTGAGGTGATTGATGTTTTGTTCTTTCTCCCAGGTGTTTCCCCCGTTCGTTCTCGTTTTAGACAAAAAATAATAAGAAAAATTTGGACTTTCCGTTTTTATCGTACCTAACTACTATGCATGAAAATATTTTGTACATATAAGTGATTAAAACCAAAATATTTTAGAATTAAAAGGTTTTTTGTGCAAATTGTATTTTCACGCTCAAATAAAAAAAGGTTTGATTGAGTTCGTCTCGCTCAAGACACTTTTATTTGATTTAATTATTATTTTTTTAGCCCGTGATGTCCAATTTAAAAATAATTCCAGAACGATTTTATAGATCACACTGGACTTGCAATCCAAGTTTATTCAATCCCCGCTTTCCACTATCCGCCGAGGAGTACACTCTGCTGTAAATGGGTTCACCCCACAGTCAATCGGCAGGTGGCGTGTGAGAGGTAAAGTGAGAGCGATTCCCGCTCGCGAACAACACCAGTGACGATTATTTGAGCCGGTCTTGGGCCTCCCTTAAGGTCGACTCAGCCTCAAGTGAGTACCTGCTGTGGTGCGTAAACATCGCCATTAGGGAGACAAAGACGGCCGGGCGTGGTGCTGGCACACCCACCCCCTCGTGTGCCGTTTTGGCCTTCATAGGTGCTCACTAACAGCACTTGCCCCAACAGTCTAAGGCTATACTGGGGGTCTTTGTTCGCCCACCTCTGCCAAGACGTCAGACGAGCGTGGAAGGACACTGTAGGCTAAAACTCCACCTTGTCACCAGTAGAAGCTCATTTCTCGTAACAGCAATGGAACAATCTGAAAAAAGAGCTGAGGCAAGCAAAGATGCACACTTGAAATTAACATCAGGCGCACTTTGATCAATGGACAAATGCAAATCACAGACGGCGTATTGACGTAAGGAAAGCATGCTTGGTAAGGTAAGCTAAACACTAAACAATCTTTTTTTATTCATAATAAAGGTTTTTAGGTTATATCGCGTTATTTATAAATGTGTCGTAACCCTCCACCCGAAACGGCCAAACAGTAAAAAATGTGTTGAAGAGTGAATCAACATCATTTAAAATTTGAGTACGACGTTTCGCTGGTAATTACATCCAGCTTCATCGGGCAATTCGCCAGAATGGTAAAGCCCTCGCTTGCTCCTGGTCTTAAATAGAGCAGCAGGGTGACGTCATCATTTAACGTAATATTTTTTTTATTTGAAGCTTTCGTGACTGCAGGGATTCATATTCTTGGTTCTTTCGGTAAAGTCACGTAGAAAAGAAAGAATACAATAATAAAACATTTTATTTTATATTTTCTACGTGACTTTACCGAAAACACCAAGAATATGAAACAATGTTTGTTATTTTACTAGGTAAAGCTCACTGAGCTATTAGCTTTGTTTTCAGAATCAGATATTTATTTATAGTGTACGTATGTATCACTTATTTCGTACCGTACACAGCCAACACTGTTGATCGGTGATACTGGATTAATCCGATGAGCTCTAAAGCTCTTATTTCAGAGACCTCCATTAGAAAGGTGGCTGATGGACGAGACTTGTCAAGGAATGGCAGCACGTGGCCAAAAGGATGACCCACGTGAGATGGAGTGCATGCAGGAGATGGATAACAGCAACTGAAAGGTATTGGGGGACAGCGATGACGTGGTGGGAACGCCTTTATCCAAGCTGTGAATAGATCCATGTCTGATTATTGCAAAATGTAAATTGGCCGTATTTGATATTCTAATCATGTCCTGAATGGGTGAGAGACTCAAACATTCTCTTGAGGTTTTTTTTTATCCCGTGAATCATCCAGTTTTTTTAAGAGACACCCAGCGATTGTTTTTAGAAATGTACAACTTTTAAATATAATAATTGTATGTGGCGTCATTCATGCCAATTGAATCCCACAACGCTATATACATGAACTATATGCAAGGGCCAAATCCTATACAGTATATAGCTAATACCAAGCAAATTGAAAACCCTCAGAAAACATGACAATGCTTTTATGAACTTTAAACGTTTATTTTTTTAAATGTAATTAAGAGTAGTAATGTTTGGCTTCCGCAATTTTCGTCAAACAAATATTGGGGCCCCAACCTAATCGATTGCCGAACCCTGCCTGAGCTGATGGTGTCGTCACTACGCCACTAAGACCACCGGTCTCACTACGCATTCACATGCAATAGCGGCTCTTGAAATACTTTGTTATAATTATACCCAGGGGCCGTCCATAAATGACGTCACGCACCTCGGGGGGGGGGGGGGGTCAGACATTTGTGACGATGTGTGAGAAATGTGACGTCACAGCAAAATGCACAACTTTAAATAAATATAGACAACACGTTCTTCTTAATTTAATATACTTTTAATAGATGTTTTCTCCTACAACATCAGAGTGCATCGGCACGTTAAATACGCACTACAATTACAATAGTTTAAAGCGATTTGAAGCATTATGAGACCTCCTTTGCCAGTAACAAGATATAGGAATAGGTTTTACCCTTTTAACTGGCACAAAAACTGACACCTTTATTCAAGGCATCATGTTTGCAATAACCACAACACAAGCAGTCAAAATGCAAACAAAAAAGACAACTGATAATAATATGCACTGTCCTTGAATTTGATTGGTCCACACCCGAGACAGCTTTTCTTAGAGCCTAGTCTCCATTGGTGTTGGACCAGAAGACGCCAAAAGGCGTACAACTCAAAAACAGCGCACTATCAGAGTATTGAGGGCTCGGGGTGAGCATGTACATTATGAGACCTCCTTTGCCAGTAACAAGATATAGGAATAGGTTTTACCCTTTTAACTGGCACAAAAACTGACACCTTTATTCAAGGCATCAGACTAGGCTCTAAGAAAAGCTGTCTCGGGTGTGGACCAATCAAATTCAAGGGCAGTGCATATTATTATCAGAGTTGTCTTTTTGTTTGCATTTTGACTGCATGTGTTGTGGTTATTGCAAACATGACGCCTTGAATAAAGGTGTCAGTTTTTGTGCCAGTTAAAAGGGTAAAACCTATTCCTATACGATTTGAAGCATGTTTTATATATTTTTTTTTGGGGGGGGGGGGGGCAGAGTTTCCCAGGTATGAGAAATGGTATGGGAAACTTTCCACTCTCTCCACAACTGCTCCATCACCAATGGGGAGCTGAGGGGGTGGAGTGTTTGATGGCACAACATTTGGTGGGGCTTAAGGTTCCACTCCAGTTACCATACTCTTTGGTTCTTAAGGTAAAGTCACGTAGAAAGAAAATAAATTAAATAACAGCATACGACGTTTCGATTGCAACACAAGCAATCATCATCAGGTACAAATGAAAGAGAAAAAAACTTAGTAAACTTAGAAATATGATGCAATACAATACAGAGAGTCGGCTAACATAATAGTCAACACCCTACCTGGTTGATTGCGTTCTTCCAAAGATTGCTAAATTTAGCAGCAGCACCTGCAAATACTCCTCTGAGTGAGCAGCAATCACCAGATGGGAATGTGTCCAGATCCCTCTACCCCCCCCTTACCCCCCACACACCCCCTTACCCCCACCCCCACACCCCCCTTACCCCCCCCCTTTCCTACCCCACCCACCTATATCCCCCCCACCCTCTTTACCCCTCCTACCCCCTTTTTCCTCCACTCCCTTTACCCCTCCCACCACATTCTTGGTTCTTTCGGTAAAGTCACGTAGATAGAAAGTTAAAATATTTAAATAATAAAATTTTCATTACAAATACATTTAAAATAATAAAAGCAAAAAAACCACCCCCTTTACCCCTCCCCCGCCCTTTACCCCCCCCACCCCCCTTTACCCCCTTTACCCTCCCCCTTTACCCCCCCTTTACCCCCCACCCCTTTACCCCCCCCACCCCCTTTACCCCGCCCCCTTTACCCCTCCCACCCCCCTTTACCCCCCACCCCCCTTTACCCCCCCCACCCCCTTTACCCCGCCCCCTTTACCCCTCCCCACCCCCTTTACCCCGCCCCCTTTACCCCTCCCAACCCCCTCCCAACCCCCTCAAGCTTGAGTCGGGGGAGGGGGGTGGAGTGTGGGGGAGGGGGTGTGGGGGGGGGATCCGGATCCTCACCCCCCGCCCCCTGGCACCCCGAATCCGTGAGCGCGAGGAGCCGCCGCCGATCCGCGCGTTCTCTTTCCCGCAGCCACCACCAGCGTCAGGGCCACCACCACCACCATCACCACCACTATCATCAGCATCATCATCATGTTCCACGGCGTCTCCAGACTCCTCCTCGTGCTGCTGCTGGCGATGCCCCTCGCCGTGCTGTTAAACGGCAAAGGTAGGTTGTTACCAACAACAGCAAGGATATATATCTAACGTGTTGTTTTGTGTTGAAACGCTCGTAGCCGACGACGAGATTGACAGTCGGGATTGAACTGCAGCGAGCGACGTTAACCATTGCCGTCAATGAGGGGGAGCGTTCGTTTGCTTGCGTGAGGGGGGTGGTAGTGGTAGTAGTAGTGGTGGTGGTGGAAACATTACAAAAATTAACGCGATTGGTTTTTTTTTTACAAACGAACGTCTTATTTAAAGCAACGCGTTGTTGTTTTATTTTTTTTTAAATCGCTGGTAAAAGTTAATCGGCGGCGTTGGGTGGTGGTGGTTTGAGTCGTCAGTCGGTGCTGCTTTCGCTGAGGCGAAGAGGAAAAGACGCTGACGTGGCCTTGCCGAGGGGCCTCCTCCTCCTCCCCTCCCCCCTCCTCCTCCTCGCATGTTGCCGCCGCGATCGACGTCCGTCGCCGCCGCCGCCGCTTCCCCGTTGCCCCCCCCCCTCCTGGCGTCCACGTGGCGGCATCGCGAGCCAACGGGGAAGGGGGCCCCGCGACTCCCGACGGGGGCTCCCCGCGGGCACCCCGCCTCGCCTGCCTCGCTCGCCCGCCTCGCCTCGCCTAAAGCGGGCTAGGAATTGCAAACAGGCTTTGGGAATCTTTTTTTTATTATTTTTTTTTCCCGTGCGCGCTTTTGAAGTCGTGGCACTTGCGCGCTGGGGCGGTGTGGGGGGGTGGTGGTGGGACGCACGGTGTGTGGTGGTGGTGGTGGGACGCACGGTGTGTGGTGGTGGTACGTACGGTGTGTGGTGGTGGTGGTGGGACGCACGGTGTGTGGTGGTGGTACGCACGGTGTGTGGTGGTGGTGGTAGGACGCACGGTTCCATGGCAATCGACGGTGGAGAATTTGCGGCCCGCGGTCGAACTCGTGGTGGTGGTGGTGGTAGTTTAAGTTTTTTTTTAATTCATTTTCTTTTTGTTTTTAAACCAATTTTACCGATCGACTCGAACGGGCCCGATCTCACTGCGACTCGGCGCCAGTTCCATTCGGGCACCAACCATATGGTGTGGTGGCGACGCTTCTTGCAGGCACACGGACCCGTCACTTTAACACGCAGTAAGCAGGCTTTCGCGACCAATACCGATAAATTACAAGGGGTTTGTTTTTGAGGGAGGGGGGTGGGTGGGTGGGTTGGTTAGTTCGCGTAAATATATAAATGTGTCGTTACAACCCGCCACCACCCGACACGGCCAATGAGTCAGGTTTAGTTGTCGCATAATCAGAACGTGGCAATTTCGTTACTCGCTCCATCACTCACGACCCGGTCAGCCCGCTGCTGTACACGAAGGCCTCTTCCACACACCCCCCCACACACACACCATCAATCACCATCGCAGCCTCTGCCGATAGCCATGACGTGTCCCTATGGCCTGCAACTATACCCAAGCCACCCCCCCCCATGACTTTCCATCACGGTCAAAATTATTTATCGAACCTACTGTGTATTGTTTTGAGTCACCCGTTCATCTCCTCGTCCCTCCCCCCCCCCTGTCCAGTCATATTTAGAGTCGCGTATCTCTCAGTAACATATCTGTCAACCCCTTCTCAGTTGCCCTACCTTATTACAGACCAATTCCGACCGTATTAGTCACCCCGTGCCCCTATGTATCTCAACGTTCATCCTACAAGGTCCCCATCACAAGGGAGAGAAACGCAAGCAAATAGACAATTTATTTTTTGCCCGTATTGAAACGGCTATACGCCGTTTGGGCCTAAGGACTCAATTTCCCTGTACAAGAATACGGGGTAAACCGTATGGGTTGGCAGCTATGCAATGGTGTCGCGTAAAGCATCAAAGCATGCGAAATAATATCGTCATGTATTTGTCCAGCGAAAGCTTGACTATTTTTTTTTGTCAGTAGGGTGGTCTTGTTACATTGGAAATATGTTTGGCTATTTTCGCGAATGAGAGTGGCTTCATGTGACAGGAAACTTGGTTTGGGAGTGATGCACCAACCCATGCCTCCAATGCACTGGGGTGCCACGGTGGCGAGATGTTAACTACCTCGCCAGGTATACAGGAGGCCTTGAGTTCAATTTCGACCCTGACGCCTGCTGTATATTTGGAGTTTGCATGTCTCTCTCCCCGTGGTTGCGTGGATTTTCTCCGCGTCCTCCATTTTTTCCGCTCAACATTTAGAAACGTGCGTTTAGAGTACTGTATTTGGCTGCGATACATTGCCACATGATACGTAATTTCGTTCAGCTATCTTTTTGTGGCCAGGTCGCTTCTGGAAAAGAAGCTTAATAGCTCAGTGGGCCTTACCTGGTAAAAATAATATCTCCTAGGCCACTATCTTGTAAGTGAATTATTTTACACTTCAAATCCATTCAACTAAGGTTGAATGTTTTTTTTGCATTACGATACCTCTGTGACTTGGGGAAGAGGGGGGCATAACTACAGATGATCAAGTATGAAGTTGTGAGCTTGTGTATGTGTCAAAAATAAAATGGATATATGCAAATCACTTCAGCCAAGACGGCTTACCATACTGACAATTAAATTCTCCTGAGGACAAACACATGTTGGAAATCTTACATAATATGTGTGTGTGCATTGCATTATTTTATACTAGTTTGGTAGTGTTAGGCTGCCACCATATATGGATGTTTAAAAGGTTTGTTGTAACCCGACTCACCTTATCCTGGTAGTCGTACCCATTGAGGCACGTAGACAGTGTCAGCGGGTGATCAGCTGGTGGAATAATAGGTAACTAACGCATCCATTGGCCTGCATCCTTCTCTCTCCCGACCCATGTGTTCCCCTCTCGCTCTCTGTCCATTTCATCATGTCTGGTCTAACCACGAGGTTGGCATTGCTGATTGTACTCTCCCTCGATCTCGCCTGTTCCTCAACCTCATTTTTTCAGCTGGATGTGATTTTATTTAGCCTTTGCAGTCTCATATGTTCTGAATCCCAGTCCTTGGGCGCGCACCTCCTTTAGTCGATTTGCCTTCAAATAGTGCAAGGCCGGATGGTTGGGATGCGTTTTTGGGTTGTACTGCGGCTTTGCTTGGCACCGTGACGTTTCGCACAACCGCATACGTGCTGGGATCTTCATCAATTCGGCCGATGATGAAAAAGAAGCTGCCACCAGGACGAGGAGCGGAACGTCGGACATCAAGCCGAATGGCACGCGGTACATTCCAGAAACACATCGGAGAGCTGTCCTTCATAACCGCATAGACCTATGCAGCAGCAGTGGTTTTGGAAAGTCTGCTGGATGTATTGATGTGCCCAAATAACTGCAGTTTTCTTCATAACGATGACGATGATTGGTAATTGTGCTCCACATGCATTCATTAGTAACATTTGCTATGAGTGGGATTCGTAGTACCCCTTGATAATGTCAAGCTGACAGGAGAACATATGCTTCTCATCCATGCACCTCTGTGTATCAGTGTAATTCTGAGCATGTGTCTCTCCCCACACTTCTTTACACACTATTCAGATCTTTGTTTAGGTTTCTTTGTTACAGCACATCATAAGCAATACGATCAATGTTCTATATGCACAGCCTTTTTTTTGTATCAATCCACCACTTAGTGAATACCTACTCCACACATTGCATGAAGTTGGGGGTTGTTTGACGACACGCCACGCTGGTCAGTGCGAGTTGGTGAGGGCGGGGAGACTAAATGTGGAAGCATAGACGTACAGTACGGTATAAAAATTGTGTTTTTCTGCACCACCCACTACTCACCATGTAGGCCCACAGCAGTCTATAACACTTGTTTCATGCATGGCCGTTGCCCATCCGAGCACTATCCATGCTCATTCCTACTTTCACGCCTGAGATCCGATGAAATTTGGGCACATTCCTGGTGATTCTGTCACCGGCACGATTAATTACTGCCAAGTAATTTTACACTTCCTGTTTACTGCAACTTCAGTGAAGTCTGTCTTGCAATTCCCAGCAAGTTTTATAAGTCTCATTGAATCAACGTGAACTTGTGCTTTTGAGAGCAAACTATACCCACGTATTGAATCTTCCAAGATTAATGGACGCCCATCCAAGCGATATTCAAGCTCAACTCTGCTTAGTTACCCAAATCCTTTCGGGGTTAAGTGGTCATTGGCACCAACATCGATATTACACAAAAACGTTGCATATTTGACTCTCCGGGGATTGAGCTATTGGCAGTAATATGAGGAGGCCGTTATATGAACTTGGGATAGAAAATGACAGTCACACCATACACAAAGAACTCAACATAGTTGCCAATAGGGCTGGCTGCCTTAGACAGAAACGTAAATCACGGACAACATTTCGGGCAATGGAAGTTCTTCATTGCACATACGCAAGCCCATACACAAGCCCATACGCAAGCCCATATGCAAGCCCATTGCTGTCAACCCCTTATCAGTGCCTACCTTATTACAGACCACTTCAGACCTTATTGGACACCCCGTGCCCCTTATAAATCTCAACGTTCATCCGACAAAGTCCCATCACAAGGGAGAAACACAAATAAATAGACAATTATTATTTTGCCCGTATGAAAACGGCTGTATGCCATATGGACCTGAACTAAATTACCATGTACAAGAATACGGATAAAACCGTATGGGTTGACAGATATGCAAATGTGTGAATGGGGGAAAAAATAAATGCAGACTGCTTTTAACGCGTGAAAATACCCTGGCATACTTACAAGTAAGTGAACGTGTTTGAGATTGAGAATGCATTATAGTCTGTAAAACGGTCAGATTTGTGAACATCTCCGGTGTGTTTTTGGGTTATGCCGAAAACGTAGAGTACAACTGCACGAACCTACACGCCGGTATCTATAGGAATTGCCAGCTACGCCACGAGATGTCGGCGGCCCCTTAGTAGGGGTGAAAATGTGACGATTGGAGTGCAGCATGTACTGTGCAGTCGCCACCGTCGTCGTCATAACACCAATGTGATTTCAGGTCCTGCATTTGCTCGAGCTGACGAAGACGTGACCGATGACGAAGTAGACGCAGCGGTGGAGGAAGACGAGGAGGAGGACGAGGAGGACGACACGGAGGTGGAAGATGAAGAACCGCAGACAGCCATGGTGATGACTTGCGACGGTGGCGGCTTTCTTGTGCTCAATTATCCTGAGCACAACTCTGCGGCCGTGGTCATTATAAAAAAAAACTTCACAATGGGGGGAAAAGATGATAATCACTTTGTTTTGCAGTGATTTGCATGCAAAAGGACCAATATGAACAGCCCTATTACAACTCTGTTTAGGTGGCAGGGTGGCACAGTGGACAATGCTTGTGCCCGTCTCTACTGGACATCTGTGAAAAAGCTTTATAGCTCATCACTAAATATTCTCAGTTTGATTATTCTGATTCTGAAGAAGTGTCTGGGTTCATGTTCCCGACTCGGGCACCATTCTGCGTGGGGTTTGTATGTTCTCACCCCTGTGTTCTGCGTGGGTTTCCTCCGGGCTCTGCTTCCTCCCGTATATCAAATACACACAATGGCAAACATCCCAATTTAGCAGGACCCTCCGGAAAAAAAAAAACAGTGTGGACTATCCTTTAGAGTGGGGGGGCCGAGTAGGTTCTGTCGCCAGATGGGATGATCGTGCCCTGTGTAATCTGGATGTGTGTAAAAAAAAATAGCTTCATAGCTCATCGGATTCCTCCAGTCTAAATCAAGATTCTGATTATGTATTCGTGTCCCGTTTGTGCGACAGACGGGAGAAGACGCGGATGAGGAAGAGGAAGGGGGCACAGGGGAGCCCACCGCTTCTCCACATGCTCACACGACCATCCTCTTCGTCAAGGGCGATGGTATTACCTCTTTCTCCTCCTCCTTTACTGTTCCCTATGTCCAACACCGCTCTTCCCAAAGCTATTTTACTGCTTTTACATTATGAGACCTCCTTTGCCAGAAACAAGATATAGGAATAGGTTTTACCCTTTTAACTGGCACAAAAACTGACACCTTTATTCAAGGCATCATGTTTGCAATAACCACAACACAAGCAGTCAAAATGCAAACAAAAAAGACAACTCTGATAATAATATGCACTGTCCTTGAATTTGATTGGTCCACACCCGAGACAGCTTTTCTTAGAGTCTAGTCTCCATTCGTGTTGGACCAGAAGACGCCAAAAGGGTAAAACCTATTCCTATATCTTGTTTCTGGCAAAGGAGGTCTCATAATGTAAATGCTAACCCGAGCCCTCAATACTCTGATAGTGCGCTGTTTTTGAGTTGTACGCCTTTTGGCGTCTTCTGGTCCAACACCAATGGAGACTAGGCTCTAAGAAAAGCTGTCTCGGGTGTGGACCAATCAAATTCAAGGACAGTGCATATTATTATCAGAGTTGTCTTTTTTGTTTGCATTTTGACTGCTTGTGTAGTGGTTATTGCAAACATGATGCCTTGAATAAAGGTGTCAGTTTTTGTGCCAGTTAAAAGGGTAAAACCTATTCCTATACCTATTTTACTGCTCTTTTCTGTGTCGGTTTTAAACATCTGACTCGTATGTAAACATATACGTATAGACTGAGTTTGTGACCGATGTATATTCGAAGGATGTCTGGAATGGCTAGAAAGTCATCATTTTATGGGATGAGCAATATTTTTTCTGCTCGACAATTGAACTGCACCAAGTATAAACACGAGGGTTTTGCGTGAGATTGCACGAGGATTTGCATCAGATGTTGGTTCTGTATTGGACGAATTAATGCAGATGTGGTAATTTTGACCTCTGTGTACTCTTAATTTAAAGTTAACAGCAGTTACCTCTCAGTCCTTTTGAAGGTGTGGCGAAGCTCGTTTTGATGCCTTTTAGAACGTTCACGAGCGCTGGAGCGAACTCGTTTTCTTTCGTCGCAGACTTCCCCGCCAACCGCGTTGTCAAGTTCCTCGTCGGCTTCTCCAACAACGGCTCGGAGGAGTTTGTCGTGGAGTCTCTCGATGCCTCCTTCCGCTACCCCCAGGACTTCCAGTTCTACATCCAGAACGTGAGCGCAAGAGTTCACCCGCTCTCTCGCTCAGTCACTCGCTTCACCTGTCTGTCCCTTGCTTATCCGCTTAATCACTCACACACCCACCCAACGATTGACTCACCCGCTCACTTGCTCACGAAACCAGTACTCACCCGCTCTTCAGTTCGCTTGTCAACTCGCTCGTACACTCACTCTCTTGCGTGCTCACGGACTTTTTCACTCGCCGAGTGATCCGTTCACCGTCAACGATGAGCGACGTGTGCCGCCGTGTGCGCGTGCCCCTCCAGTTCACGGCGCTGCAGCTGGACACGCTGGTGAAGCCCCATCACCAAGCAACCTTCGAGTACTCCTTCATCCCTGCCGAGCCCATGGGGGGGCGCCCCTTCGGCCTAGTCATCAGCCTGGGATACCGTGACGCTACGGTACGTGCCTACGCACGCTCACGATCGCACGATGCGCGCTTGAACGATCACACGTACTCGCGATCACACAGAAGGATGCTTACGTGTGTGTGCGATCGCACGTACGTGTGTGTGTGTGTACGATCGCACGTACGTGTGTGTGTACGATCGCACGTACGTGTGTGTGTACGATCGCACGTACGTGTGCTCACGGTCACATTTGCACACGTACACGCATGCATGACTGCATATGCACGCGTGTACGATTGCAAGTACACGCGTTGGTGATTTATTTAGGTTTATTTATGTTACCCTTGTGAAATCAAGCTGTGCAGAAAAAAATATCCCTATGCGCAAATATGAATTATATTACAAATAATTCACGGACCTTTGTCAAACCACTGCCGGTTGAAGGCCTTCCCATGCCGTGTTGGTCATGGATATTTATTTTTACCATACCTCACCATGCTGGTAAGTGCAGGTAGGTGAAGTATGCCTCATTATTGTGCATTAGGTTTGAAGGTTATGCGCAATGTTGCATTTATAATCTGTACAGCTTTCAGGGACGTCGCAGTGGTGGTCGAGGAAGGGGGCCGTGCCGTTAATGTCGATGGTGTTGGCGTGCGTCATCCCCACCTTGTCTGCAGGCACAGTACCGCGACGCCGTATTCAACCAAACCGTAACCGTCACCGAGCCGGATGAGGGAATCGACGGAGAGACGTGAGTGGTCGGGGCGGGCGTTAGCGAGCGTCACCTCGTGCGGTTGTGGACAGTTGTGTGAATGGGGAGAGCGCACGCGTCGGCGGTGAGTATAGCCAAGTGTGAATGTCAGCGTGAGCGTGCGCGAGTGCGAGTTGGTGTCAAGTGCGTGCCGGTGTGAAGGTGAGCGAGTCTGAGCTAAGCATGGGTGAGAGTGAGTGGGCGTGTGCGAGGTAGCAGCAAGTGTGAATGTGAACGAGTGCGCGGGGTATCATAAGGGTTGGTGAGTGTTAGCAGATAATGTTGATTTGAGCGAGTCCGAGCTAAATTATTTGCGGGTGCGTGAGTTCGCGGCAAGTATGAATGTGAGCGTGTGACATGGCGTAAGTATAGGGAATGGTAGTGTAGCTGTAAGCGCGCTGCGTTATGAACCCGGCGACCCGAGTTTGATTCCCGCTCATGGCCAGCACTAGTGACGATTATCTGAACCGGTCCTGGGCCTCCCCTAGCTCAACTCGGCCTCAAATGAATATCTGGTGCGATGTGTAAACATCGCCACTAGGAGACAAACGCGGTCGGGCATGGTGCTGGCCACCCACTCCATACTGTGCTGTGCTGGCAGTCATAAGTGCTCGCTAATGGCACTTGGCCCAAAAGTCTATGAAGGCTATCCTGGGGGGGTCGGGGGGGGGGGGGGAGGATCTTTGTCCTTGTATGCGTGAGCTCCTGTGAGTTGAGTCCCGTCGTGATTGTGAGCTGAAGTGAGTGTGCGTTGGAGCGGGAGTGAGTGGAACGTGTCCCCGTGTTCTGCCCCAGGTTCTTCATGTACATGTTCCTCGCCGGGCTGGTGGTGCTGCTCCTGGTCGGCGCACACCAGTTGCTCGAGTCTCGCAAGGTGAGTGAGCCAGTGGATGGCTTCAGGAGTAGCCTGGTGAATTACCAAAAAAAAACCCGTATGCTTACACACAGACGTACATGGAGACACTTAGAACTGAACTCAACGATTTTTGTTTTACCAGGTGAGGCCCACTGAGCTATGTGGCTCTTTTTCAGAAGCAACCTGGCCACAAATGATAGCTGAACGTAGTGGCTTATCATGTGGACATTTATAGCAGCCAAATACTCTAAATGCATGTTTATAAATGTGGAGGGTAAAACCGGAGTACCCGGAGAAAAATAGTTCGACCACGGGGAAAAAATGCAAACTCGAAATAATCAGGCGCCAGGGTCGAGATCGAAGCCACAACCTCCTGTATACCAGGCAAAATGGTTAACATCTCGACACCACTTGGGGCGATAGAGACCTATAGCCTTAGATGTGCTTCCATAGACTCAAAACAGACACCTGGTGAATGTGTGAAATTCTGCCGGAAAACGATCAAAGTGGGCAGGAATGTTTCTGTGTGTTACATGGTTTCACATGGTAATTCACAGGCGACGTTTCGGGCAGTAGCCCTTCTTTACAGCACGTAGAGAGGCCAGGTCAGGCAAGTCAGGCAGGTCAACCTGCCCGGCCGCTCTCTCTGCTGTGAATATGGGCCATTGCCCGAATAGTCGCCTATTCCTTACTTTTTAATTTTAAGGCAATGTTATTGACGAATGTTTTGAGTTTCTTTTTTTGTTAATTGCGCTTGTATACCACTGCCAATGGAGTTACCACCAACTCATTTGAGACGCATAGACTCACGTGGGCATTCATAGACTCGCACAGACACCTGGTGCATGTCTGAAACTGCTGCCTGCAAATGATGGAGGCGGGGCAGTCGCGTTACTGTGTGGTCCATGGTTTTAGGCTGGTGACCGCAGTCGCACTGTGGCGGGCTATTCTTAATTGTCCACCAGTGTTGGAGATAGCCGCGTCTGCCGTGCGATGTTCTGAAGTGGAGGTGGGGTGTGCGATTCCAACGTAAGATGAACGTATGCCCTCAGCTGTGCTCGGTGTGACTGAGCTTAATCACGCACGTGTCGCTCGCTCGCTCGACAATCAGATCTCATTGCGTGTGTCCGTGCACCTGTCCATCGTGTGTGTCCAGCGCAAGCGTCCAAGCGCGAAGCCCGTGGAGATGGGGACGTCTAATCCGAACGGTGTGGATATGAGCTGGATCCCACAGGAGACCCTCAACCATATGAGTGAGTCGTTCACGCTTGCCCACTTGCGAGCACCCTTGCTCGCTCACTCGCCAGATTGGCTCACTTGCTGACCGACTCGCGTTTATGCCTGGTCACTCGGTCACAAGCCAACTCGCTTCCGCATTCACTGTCTCGCTCCCGCTCGTGCTCACATATTCACTTCGTGCGAGCGAGTCTTTTACGCTCGCCTTCTTGCTAGCGCTGCCGTTCGCCCGATTTCGCTGGTCAACTCGCATATTTTTCCCACTCGTGGTCTCGCTCACTCTACATCCCCCCCTACTCTCATTTGCTTGCCGACTCCCTGGCACAAATGGCTCGCTCGCTCGACCCGCTCGCTCATTCACTGAACCACGCAAGCGAGCTATTCTCGTTGGTTCCTTGTCTAGCGCTATTGTTAACCTCTCTTCTTCCGCCAACTTATTGACCAGCTCGCGTATAGGCCCGCTCGGTCTCACTTCCTCATTCACTATCTCTCTCAAATCACATGGCCAGAGTGCCGTAGTTTGCGTTCCCGTATCGTGCAAGTCGCGCAAGCCTCATCTTAGTTTCCCACATTAGCCTGCGGCGCGACACAATGTCGGCCCGTTGGGGGCTACCCCTAGATTACGCCAAGAGGCCTTGCAATGAAGGTGTTCAATTGTGTTAAAAAAAATTAGATTTAAAACTAATTTCTTGAGAACTGCTTTTTTTGTTTTAGTTTGTTGTCTCTCCCCGGCACCTTCGGATTAGCGCGGTTGGCTACGTACGGTGCGGAATAACTTCAACATAGTACACGCATACATTACCCCCGAGGTTTGTAGTTTCAACATGTGAGCTGTTCTTTTTGTGAATTTAGTTGGAGCGTAAAAATCCTGACCGCCCCCCCCACCCCCACCTCCCTTCCCTGGCTTCGGTCACACTCTGCACCGTGGCCGCGCTTTCTGTTTTTCTCACGTCCGCCGTCTCGCGCTCACCGTCTGTCCTCTCGTGCGTGACCGTGTTCCTCCGCCGATTCCCAAGAGCTAAGCCGGAGAGGTGAGTCGTGTGCGCGGCGCATGTCCTTGCGATGGTTGTTTCGTGCCGTAAACTATTTTGATTTTGCCCAGGTCAGGCCCACTGAGCAATATGGCTCTTTTTTTCAGAAGCGACCTGTCCACAAATGATAGCTCAACAAAGTGGCCTATCGTCACGTGGACATTTATAGCAGCCAAATGCTCTAAAACGCGTGACGTTGATTCTAAACATGGAGGGAAAAGCTGGAGGACCCGGAGAAAAATCCACACGGCCACGGGGAGAACACGCAAACTTCAAATATACAGCAGGTGTCAGGGTCGTTATTGGACCCGCCACGCCCTGTATACCAGGCATGGAGGCTGTGCATTTACAAGAGTCGAACTTTTGCAAATACAGTCAAAATTCTCTGTCCCTTCGTGTCTTTTGCATGGTACGTGTACAGCGACCATTAGAGATGCAGTTGCAAGTGATTTAGCTATGCAATTGCTTTGCATGAGATTTGATTAATTGCAGATATACTGCCTTCAAATACACGTAAATTAATGCACGATGCTGATGAAATTGTTGTTCATGTACATGAGAAATAACTCTTATTTATCTACGTTAGTGGCAGGGGTGGCACTGTGGTAACACTTGAGCCACACGGCACGAAAGGACCTGGGTTCAATTCCCGACTCTGGCACCGTTCTGTGTAGAGTTCGTAGGTTCTCTCCACCTTGTGTTCTGCTTGTGTTTCCTTGTCGGGTGTCCTGTCATCGCTGAACACACACGGAGTGTCATTGGTGTTGGCCAAATACCCAGATGTAGCGGGACCCTCTTGAAAAAGAGCCTTCCGACTCGGTGTGGCTTTCCTGAATAAATGCGTAATTAGTATCATGCAGCCTGCTGCTTGGCAACTATAATTCTCAATCCACTGCTGGAATGAAGCCTTCTCAAATGCGGACTTTGTTTTTCCTTCAATAGTATGCGGTTCTAGTTTTCCATATTTGTCTACATCCTGTCTTTTCTGTCCACCGTTGTATTTTGTTTTATCACCCTTCCTTTGGCTGCCCTCCCTGTCTGTTTCCCATACTGTGGCTTGCCAAAGTTGCGGAGGCATGTTCATGCATTAACAGACTAATTAATGGTTTGCTAATGAAATGGACAGTGCCGTTAAAACAATGCGTCGTGCGCTATATTGGGATACACCACAGCAGTCGTGCTGGCTAGTTTGCCCATCTCATCCACCGATCGTTAATCCCACTCCGGGGAATAGTGGTTGCGTGATTGAGACATTGAGCCATTAACTTTGGAGAACCCGGGTTTAATCGCTGGGGCTGGGTGCGTATTAAGGCCCATGGTGTGTCCGCATATGGACCTTTGCCAGCCCACTGCCGGATGAAGGTCATCGGCTGGGGTTGGTTAGGTGATCGAACTTAACCTTGCTAGAAGATGCATAATGGGACATTGTTGCCAGTATCAAAGTATGAAAAATTAAGAATAGGTTTTACCCTTTCTGGCAATAAAGCAGGAGGTGTTAAGATGTTCAAACACCAAATAGAAACCTTTTGCAAGGCATCAAGTTACTGCATTAACCACACGCAGTACTTGTGGTGAACATGCAAACACACATGCTGTGATAACATATGGCAGGTTTGGCAGTCAGTCAGGTTGGGCCCCAATATTTGATTTATATTTGAAAGGGTGAAACCTATTGTTGTGGGGTTTTTTTAATACCTGAAGATGCATGTTGGGGAAGGCAGGGAACATATTTTGCACAGTAGGGGGGGCGCAGCTGGTGCATCTGCCAGTCATCTCGGTCAACCTATGGCACCTTGGTCTGTCCCATGACCTATCGGAAAAGCCTGCGACGACACTTCACGTGGCCTCAAAGTGCACCTGGCCAGGCACAGGCGCCATGGTGGGCATTGGTATTGGAGCATATTTGTGGGAGCATAGAAGTGCATAACGGCAATATTTTTGTTTTGCTTCACCATGTGCTGCCCACCATGTAGCCATGGTGCCTTAAGTCAATTCGGGTAACTTTGGGGAGATCGTTCTTGCCATTCTTCATTGACAGTGATTATTTCACCATTTTTGTATTGTTTTATTTTGACACGGAATTCTGTAACTATTTTTAACCATTGCCATACAAGTTTGCTGTGGTGATAAATCACAATGCCATTTATTTTATGTATTCAGCAAAGACACACAACTAGGTGATTAATGTAGTTGTTTGTAGAGATTAATTGGGAGAATTGTATACTGCGCACATCGGTAATGAAAAAAAAACCCCAAAGGAATCTATCTCCCTTATCCAAATAGCCACAAGACTTAATTGGGGAGTTGAGGATTATAATTATCTGCATGTGGTGTTGTGACCGCTTGAGTGTGCATGTCCTCAAATGATTTTTGCCTGATACTCAAGAGCCGAGAATCATTTTTTAGTCATACGCAGTGCTGGGAGCTGTGGAGGTGTTACCGTGCGTGAAAAGAGAATCTTTCACAGTGATTTTTGAAGCGGAGTTGGCTAAACGTTTGCCTATGGGCAGATCTGCCACCGTTTCAGACTCTTTAACGACGCGGTTGATTGTTGGGGTAATCACAAAGTGGCTTTTTACATGGGAATATAAATGTCGAACAATTGGCAACTGTAAATTAAAACATTGTTTGTTGACACCGCATTGGCAGTGGTGCACAAATGCAGGGGAAAAAAATCTACGCGTTCATCAATACACTCTCACTTTAAAAATAAAAACATAGATAATGGTCGACATTTCAGGCAATGGGCCCTTCACACCACGTAGAGAGAGAGAGGGCCCCTCTGCGATGTGAACTCGGCCCATTGCCCAGAAAGTCCATCGATTGTGTAACTTTTACTTTTTCAAGCACTGTTATGGACGAATGTAATTTTTTTGGTTAAAATCAGATGTATATTTTATTAATGAAACTTAGATAATTGCCTGCAAAATGACAGCCCAATATGTACGTATTTTTTTAAAATGTCGACTCATTTGTAGAACTGCCCCTCATGTTATAAACTGCAATACACTCGGACCAATTGACCTTTTTCATCAACGCTGCGATGATGGCGGTGCCTTCGGTTCCACCTACGTGCTGAATTCCACGAACCAATTCCGTAAACGAGGGGCCATAATTTTTCCAAAGCTATAGATAACTCCCCCCCCCCCCCCCCCGATCCCCACTGATGGTTAATAGGGATGCAGTGACCTTGAGGTTGCCCCAACGCGTGTGGTTCCTGCCGTCTTATTGACGTGTCGTTATTTCCCCCTCCTCCTCCTCCGCCTCCCCCCTCTGTCCCGTGTGCAGACAAGGCCTCCCCAAAGCGGTCCCCACGCAAGCGCGTGACCCGGCGATCCGAGGGCGTCAGCGAATAAAGAAAGGCCAAGTCGTCACTCTTTTTATTTTTTATTCTTCCCCAGACTCGTTTCGGCTACAAATTATACACCTTTCCCTTACCTTTCCCTTACCCTCACCACCACCGCCATCACCCCCCGCTCCGCTCCTCCTCCCCCCAACTATTGTTTCAACTCCTCACCTCCACCAATGTTTGTGAAACTCCACAGCGTGTCCCCCGTCAAGGAGACGGCACGTCTGTAATTTCCCGCTTAATTTTTTCATTCATGCGAGAGGCACGGTAAAGCAAACAAAAAAAAGAAAGCAAGTGCCTGCCTTGTTCATATGTTCTCAAAATAAAAGACAATGTTGTAATTTTTTTCTATCGGCTGTAACTCATATTTGTGGCCAACTTTTAAGGAAGTTACTTTTGGTATGATTTTGTTTGTTTTTTTGCAAGAGCTCGGCAAAAGGTGTCCCGATGTCGGTGATTGAATTTAATTTTGCAAAAATATTCCAACCTCTCCATAGTTATGACTTGTCTTCAGTTTTTGTGGCTGCGGGTTGCTTACTTAATGAGCCACGGTGCAGCTAAATAGATCGATCTTGTGTCGTAAAAAAAAATGACGTGCCCAGATTCGCTTGCAGGAAGCAGCCAATAGGAGGAAAGGGTTGTAATTGTCATGGCGGTTAAGTGGGCAACCAATCGGTGAGCAGATTGCAGAGTTGCATTATAAGGCGATCTCTTCCCAAGTCATATGTTGTACCCTGTCCTCCTGATCACAAGATGCTCTGGAAAGCAAAATGCTGCCCTCAACTTGTGTCGGGGTTTCAAAAAGGTTGTACGGATCTGATCGTAGACACGACCTCCTGCAGTGTAAGATGCACCCCCCAAATCTTCCTCTAATATACCGGGAGATAAAAACTCGGTGTCATAATCTGGAAAATATGGTACTCTTACAGAATATTGTGGCCGCTAACCTGGTTTGTTATGCAATTCCACCAAGTCCCAACTGTTTGACCGATTAATGTTACTCTGCTTGTACGTTAACGTATCAACGTACAAATATGAGAACGGTCTTCAGAACGAACTTTTGAAGAACTCAGTTATTCTTCAGAAGTTGGGGGAATGTTCAACGGCATCCGCGGAAACGAAATCGCATTTCGGTTAATCACTCGAGTGCTTAAAAAGTAATTGCATTACAGTGACACACTGCTCGTAGCGTAGTCTCTTACTGCAGCCGTGGGTTTGGCAGTGGCTTACGGATTCGGCTTTAGAGGATGAGAGACCTGCCGTCAATAGCGACCCTGTCGAGGTTTAACACTTTTAGACGGCGATTCGCGTCGGTTCAAGCGTTGCGTAAGCGTGTCCACGCTCTACAAGTTTGCAGAGCTGCAGGGAATTGTGGGTTTGAGATCAAATGAGAAACATCTGATCGACTCCCCATTTCCAGGGCTGCCCCAGGGGTCCCCTGAAGGCCTGGGACTTGGAGGCCCGTTTGGGGGATGTGCCCCCCCCCCTTATTTCGTGACATAAAAATTCCCGTTTTGGTATCCACTTTTGTGTGAGAACCTGGGGAAAATTGCCACCGCCCCTTCAACCCCCACTCCCCCCTTCCCTGTGGGGCAGCCCTGTCTCCATTACTGCAGTTAGGATACAGTTTCGTAAAGTAGGGTTTCTTAAAAAGTATATTTTCCTGGCGTGCCTGCAATAGAAAAAAATGTTGCGTGCTGTCGAGCCATTTGACGTCGTGTGCACGGATGTTACTGATGTTCCATGGCGTCGCTGTGATATAATAACGACAATTCCTACACGGGCGAAATGCGGCAAGTCGTTGTGGTGACGTCCGCATGTACAGCAGCTAACCCTTGCCTCTCGTCTACAAGTCTCGTTCATCTCGCCCTCGTCTTCATTGTCTACAACTTTCATCTCTGTCTTCATGTTCATCATCTCTTTGTAGCCCCCCCCCCCCCCCACTAATCCTCTTCACGTATCTGTGAGGGCCACGTCTGGCACATGGGCTGCCAGTTTTAAGAGCCCTGGCATAGGATTACCGGTGTCACGTGCCCTCCACTTAACACCCCCGGCAGTTTGGACGCTTGCATTACAGACGCCTTGTGTCATTCGGGTGCCTTAGTTGTGCCCAGTATTTGGGCACTTTCACCTCATAGTATAAATATACTACGTCAGTGGCAGCGCTACGTGGTAAGCTATTTTGTAATTGGCACTCGTTGATTTTAGCGCTTATTGGTTTAGCATCATAAAAAATGAGCTTCAGGGGACTGCACGATTGCCGTATTCTCTGCATAGTAAAACCCTTCATAAAAGTTGTGATCGATAAAGTTATACAGGTCGAGTCATGTGCACACATAGGTGCACCCAATTTTTGCTTTGACATACAAGGGGGTGGGGGTTAAGGTGCATCTTATCGGGATAATACGGTAATTTAAAATATTTAGTCAAGATAATTAAGCAGAAAAGCCTGAATTTCGGTTTGTAAAGATTTGTATTATTCGTGCATGAGACTTTTGGCACAATTTTTTTGGGTTTGCTTGCATGCTTGGGAGCCAGAGTGCAGAGAGAAAACCCACGCATGTGAGAGGGCAACGCTGCAAATCCGCTGCAAACATAAGGCTACTTGCTGTACTACCTCCAGCAGGCGGGTGGCACACACATCGTCATCATCATCGCCGCCGCTCTAAATGGACCGGCGATTTAGGAGTTGCATCCCTGCTTTATCCGTCGTTGGGACTTTGCAACATCCTGGCTCTTAACCCTGTCATGCATTAATTATTGAAAGCAAAATACCTAACTTTTAATTTATCGGTTTAACACGATATCAGTCGACGTAACCCACTAAGTACGTGTTCAATTTTATACTGTAATTTCTCCACAACAGTCCTGATCTCGTCCTCCACGTTGGACCTAAGTTTTCCGCCACCTGGAATGCCAGGCCTCTTGCTTTCGTCCAGCTGTTTCTGCAACACAGCAGCTCCCGTTGTTCAGCACTCTTGTCACAGCGCCGAGTCGGTGGACATCCCACGGAGGGGACTGGGCGCACCGATATGTTTGAGGCGTGTGGACCACAGCCGCCGACGTGCCAACGAATCGTTTCGGCGGACGCGATGCATGCGAGGGTTAATTCAGCGCGTGTAGCTCCGTTGACGCACAAAGTGGCCTGTGTTCGCCGGTGTCTGGAACGCGAGCTTATCGTGACGATGAGTCTCGACGGATGGACTCTGCTTTATTAAAACTCATATGCCGGCAGGAGCTTCTAGAATCTAGAAAAAAAAATTAGTTGACTGTGAAACCCTGCCTCAAATGCCATGTACAGTGTGTCCTCAAAATAACGGGGGGGGGGGGGAGGGGAGGGGGGTGAATATACCGTGTCCTGTATTTTAGGAGGTACCTGTGAAAACTTTGAAAACATTGGACATCGTATTGCCAAAGCTTCAAAATTGAAACGGCGCGTAAAGCCCACGCTGTGTGGTCGTTGCCCGCCGAGTCTCAGCGCTGCACCGCAACAAAACCGCGCGGGCGCGTTCCCATTGGCTCGGTCAAATTTTTCGCCGCGCGGAAAAAAAATTCTCCGCAGCGTTTCGATTGTTGCGCGCGCGTTCCACGATTTGAGCCTGCGATGATTTTCGGCGATTTCGGTCGTCTTCTCGCGACGCGTGCGTCTTTAAATCGCTTTCGCGATCTAAACGCGCAATGCATATTTTTGATTTGCGTAATATCAAAAGCAATATAAATATACCATTACAAGCCGTTGATTGGAATCAATTTAGTCTTAGAAGGAACAGAACCAGCGCCAGGATTTGGAGTTTCGTTCGTGTTAGGGGTTGTTGTAAGGAGCATTGGTTAACTCAGGAAAGCCTGAGTCTCGACTCTTTCCCCCCCCCTCCCCCCGCGGTTCCTCTTGCTAAGTTGATCAGTCGGGGTGCGATGTTGACGTTTTCTTTTCACAATTGAGTCATTTGCAAGTAAAACTAAAATTCACACCACCCCTTCGGGTAGAAGCGTTGTATTTTGAGGACACGCTGCAAAGCGTTGCGTTGTAGCAGGGGTTGCCTGTCTGAATGCGATGTGCTTTTAAAACCGGTGACTTGTGTGATGAAAAAAAAATCAAATGGACACAGTGGAACTTTAACTTTATCAACGCCACGTGTTAAAAGAAAAGAGTTTGGCACAACAACACAATGTCACTCTACTTGGTCGCTTGAGCGCGTGTGGGAATGTTAGGCAGCTGCGGGGGGGGGGGGGGGGGTGATGGGATGGGATGGGGAAATTACTTGGGCTTTGGCTGGGAATAAGAGAACACTCGGGACGATAAGTGTTGGGGGTGGGGGGGGGTCACGGCAGACTTTATTCAACGAGGTGTTTAGATCACAGGCGATCGTGTCATCGTCAGAAATGTACCCACGTCACAAAGGGCTTCGGTTGGCACAGAAACTCCTATCAAGGTTGGGTTTGGGAGCGGGGGGGGGGGGGCGGTATTTGGACGATCGGCCTCGGATGAAAATGAAGCGTTTTCAAGAATTGAAAATAAAGCAAAAAAAGTGTTCAAGTGTTTCCGGAAATGTGTTGTAGATTCTCGTTTTGAAACGGTCGCGAGCTGCGTGGCTGGGACTTGAACTTAGTTCGTGGGGTCTCTAGCGCTGTGCCACTACTCCACCCAACATCAGCCACTCGGTGGCAATTTCCCGAGTGCCGTTAACACCGCACGCCTGCTGTGACGGTGGGAATATTTTAGACCGACGTTGGCCACAAATACCCTTCCTGTAGTCAAAGCCTTTCACTCGTTAATTAAAAACTAATGCGACACCAAGCTGCTTGTTCATGAGTAATAGAACATTTATTGTTTTAAATCCATCGTGGTTTTTTGTTTGTTTGTTGTGGTTGCACCCGATTCAAGAGCCGAATGGCTCACAGGGCTATACCAAAATAAATAAACTGAAAACTTAAACTGTATATCACATCGCCCCCCTGTTGGTTTAATTGGCATAGCGACTGGTTTATGTTTGCACAATTCTGCGTGGCGCACTCAAGACGGGTCACTTGCAAGAGTGTTGCACGCGTGTAATTGGGTTACTTGGTCTGCCAATTTATTCTAACACGATATTAGTATAATTATGTTTCGGTTTTTTTATTTTCTCTTCAATCGAATCCCGCACGGTCTGTTGTGCTGAAGTACGGCCGTGCGTTTTGATCGACTACTTGATTAGGAATGGGCGTGAGTGATTAATTTGTCGTTCGTTTGTTTAATTGTGGGGAGCGGTGGCGTAGCGGTTAGCGCGCTGCGCTACAGACCCGGCGAACCGAGTTCGATTCTGACTCGCGGCCAACACTAGTGACGATTATTTGAACCGGTCGTGGGCCTCCCCTAGGTTGACTCAGCCTCTAATGAGTACCTAGCGCGATGTGTAAACATCAGGTGCTCGCTAACAGCACTTGCCCCAACAGTCTGTTAAGCCTATACGGGGGATCTTTGTTTTGTTTTTAATTGCTGTAATTGACTCGCGGAAATGTTTTGTCCCAAAAAATATGTAATTCCGACGTCTGCGAAATCGAGGTGGACGAGGTTGGTGGGGGGCGGGGGATCGAAACGGGGGTGGGGAGGGGGGCGTGGAGCAATTCTAATAACAAACAAAAGCGGCTTCACTCTTAGTTATTATTTACGAGCAATTATTTTCGTGCCCCCCCCCCACCCCCCCGGCACATCAGACCACCAAGTTGGCCCGGGTTTTAGTTTTTGTCGTTGCCAAGACCCGTAAAGTGTACCACGAAATGCTGTTGTTGTTCAAATTGTATTCAATCAACGTGGCCGTGGTTGGATAAATAAATAAATGACGTCCCCCCCCCCCCCAAACTCCCCGTTGTCGTTCATGGGAGCCGTGAGTGTGAGTCTGTCGCGTGGTTGATGGAGTTCCACACAATTTAACTTTTTCTTGACCTTGTTCTAATCCCAGATTTAAAGTGACGACGTTCCCGTGGCACGCTTGGAGTCGCAATCTCGATTCGATCTCCTGGCACGGTAGTTATAAACAACGGGACGAGTTGGTTGAATTCTGTTTAAAAAATAAACTATGTCCACTTGGCAGTATATAAATCGGAATCCGAATATGTTTTAATCAATATTTATACTGGAGCAATCATGTCCAGTCGAGGCGGGTCAGAACGTTACAACAATAAACTATTGACAAACACGATAGGAGTGCAAAGTACAAGAACTGTAAACAAATCACCCAAAATATACAAATAAAACGAAACCATCCCCATCCTACTAGACAGCCCACTGAGGTATTCACTTAATTTCAAAAGCGACCTGGCCACAAATGATAGCTCAACAAAGTGGCCTTATCATTTGGACATTTATAGCAGCAAACTTATTTTAAATAGTGGATCGGTGGCAGGTCACGTGCGGTGCGTGAACGCGTGACGACTCCCACCTCTTCTGGCCAGCCTGGAAGAGTAGGCAAAAGCACATAATCAGAATGTTTATTTAGACTGCAGGAGGAATCCGCTGAGCTTTGAAGCTCTTTTTTCCATCATGTCCAGTAGGGGCGTATCAGCAAACGAAACAACCAAAAACACGATAGAAATGCAACATAAATAGAGAAAATGGTAAGCAAGTCACTTTTTTTACATCTATAAGCTTGATACTGGTAGGAACCTCCTGGTTACAACACCAGCCCACAGGGGATTATTGTGTCCGTCCGTCCGTCGTGCATCCAAAAATGGGAGGGGGAGGGGAGGGTGGGGAGGGAGGGAGGGGCTGGGTGGGGAGGGAGGGGCTGGGTGGGGAGGGGCTGGGTGGGGAGGGTGGGGTGGGGAGGGTGGGGAGGGGCTGGGTGGGGAGGGTGGGGAGGGGCTGGGTGGGAGGGGTGGGGCTGGCTGGGGAGGGGCTGGTCACCCCGTGGTGCCCTTATAAAACTCAACATTTAACCTACTCAAGCCGGCTTGTGCCCGCCCTCACAGTCGGGCATATTTGCGGAATACACCACGTGGTGCCACCGTTGACCCTGGCCCTACCAGCTCCCTCCGCAGGAATGTGTTAGATTTGGCAAGGCAACAACGACAACACTACCAGACCACACCAAGATAACGCCACACAGCAGTAGTCCCTCAATAAAATGGTAACATCAACATTGAACTATCGATATACGGGCGGTGATGATCCAAGGTTACGAAGCACATTTGCAAATGTGCCTGCTGCGGCCCAGCACGAAACCTCTGCTTTGGGATATATATATTTCGAAGGAAGGGTGGCTGTGTGGGAGATCCATCCTAGTTGGAAGCACTTCTGCCGGGAGTGGCATGGTCCAATCAATTGCAGGGCTTAAGTCCCTTTATCTCACAATCACTGTTTCAGTTAAACAAGTTCACACTTGGCGATACTGCATTGGTATCGATGGCACGAGCGCACGACAATACACTCAACACAATCGTCGATAAGACTTTGTGGCGTTAACAAACAAAAATAAACTTTTTCCAAAAAAATTGCCGCCGTTTCACCGAATTACTCATGTTTTATTTAATACAATAGCAATGCGATATAGATTGTGTGCAGTGCTGCAAATCACGTGCGGGGATAGATCATGGGTTTGGAGGTCGGGCCCTCGACAAGCAGACAAATCACACTCCCCCGAAGCTTAAAGTTTGAACAGCGTGCAAAGCAAATGGCTAAAAGCTGCGGTCCGCTGCGTCTCCAGCAACGTCGCGTGTGCATGCTGAGCACAACGCACACACACAACGCACACACACAACGCACACACATAACGCACACACACAACGCACACACACAACGCACACACAACGCGCACGTGAACATTTACCAAGGTGAGATCGCACGCACGCGCGCGCCTCCGATCAGCACGGTTGGCTACGCACGCTGCGACAGAAGTTCAAACGTCGGGTAGGGCAATGCGTGGTGCAAAAAAAAGCATCTCAAGTGCGAGGTGTAAAAGCCCGCGTCGGTGATGTTCAAGTGTGGGCATCAAAGGACAGAAACACTTCAAAAGTTGCGATTGTCCCTGGACTTTAGAGCCAAGCTGACGGTCCGAGTCAGTTTCGTGCGTGCGGCCAGTAACATTTAGCGTCCAGGAATCTTCACGCACGTAATTTTTTAACAGTGTTACATTCACAATATTTCTTATTGTTTATTAGTTTAACAATGCTTCCCTTATATTCTTGGTTCTTTCGGTAAAGTCACGTAGAAGGGAAACAATAAAATAATAAAAATATTGTTTCCCCTTCCCTTATATGCTTGGTTCTTTCGGTAAAGTCACGTAGAAGGGAAACAATAAAATAAATAAAAAATATTGTTTCCCTTCTACGTGACTTTACTGAAAGAACCAAGAATATGAATCACTGCAGTCACGAAAGCTTTAAATAAAAATGCTTCCCTTTGTTGTTGAACCGTAACACATTTCATAACACTGACCGTATGGACATTTAAATACAATATATTATTGCGTTCCGATTTACGAACCGTTCGACTTACGAACGGCCCTCTGGTTACAAATTACGTTCGTAAATCGAGGACTGTCAGTATATTTGTTCGCCAAATCCCTTTGAGGTGTTGGGTCACGAAGTGAAAACAATTTGCATGCAGCACTCTCAGTAATGTTGTGAAATCCTACAATCACCTCGATCAATCGTCAGTTCAACAATGGTGACTAAATAATAAAGACTGAAGAGGGGGCCGTCCATAAATGACGTCACGCGATTTTGGGCGATTTTTGACCCCCCCCCCCTAGTCACACGGCGTCAGACCCCCCCCTCAAATATGACGTCACAAAGATCTGCCCCCCCCCCAAAAAAATATAAAACATGCTTCCAATCGCTTTAAACTACTGTATTGTCATTGTAGTGAGTATTTAAGGTGGCGCTGCACTCTGATGTTGTATGATAAAACATTTATGAAAAAGTATATTTAATTAAGTAGAACGTGTTGTCTATATTTATTTTAAGTTGCGCATTTTGATGTGACGTCACATTTCTCACCACCCCCCCCCCCCCTTCGTCACCGTTCGTCACAAATGTCTGACCCCCCCCCCCAGGTGAGTGACGTCATTTATGGACGGCCCCATATAAGCCGAACTCCAGCGTGTCTGCACTTTTAGCCCTCCGCAGGAGCCAGTAATCAACAGGTGTAGATCGTAAACACGAACGTGTAAGTAAATGAATCATTTGGCGGGACCCCGGGATCCCGCAAAAATCAGGTCAATAATAATTATTAGTTTTATTCTTCAGTCCGCCCCACTACGTGATCCCGACAACAACGCGCCGCCCGCCCGGACTATCGCACCAACAAGCGCCAGCAGCAACAGGCGGCGATCAACACGATGGGCACCACCCCCACCGGCCAAACGCAAGCCCCGGGGGGCGTCCGGCGCCCTCCGGTCAGCCGTCCATCCTCAGCTTCTTTGCCAAGGCGAGCCCCACCGCCGCCCCCCAGGCAGTGAATTTAACGTGTTTATGTAATTTGTCAACTTTTTACGAAACTTAGTGCCCCCGAATAGCTCTCGACGAGGCCAATCGATTGACGCCAGTTTTGTTGTCGGTAAGGCAGCAAGACTCGTGTCGCTACGCGGTTTTTCCCACCCCGGCGCAGTGGTGGGACCCCGGGGGTCCCGCCAATTGCTTCAAATGCGGTTAATCTAAACACGTGGACTCTAAAGGCACGTTCCGAGCTGCCAAAGCAACGGCGTCTAACGATTGGTTAATATGGGAGGGAGGGAGGGGCAGGGGGAGGGGCAGGGGGAGTTGGGAGGGGCAGGGAGGTAGAGAGGGGAGGGGGCGTCACGTGATATCGGCACGGTGGGGGAGTCACGTGAGGCGTTGGAGGGGGTGGAGTCCACGTGACTCGCGTAAACAGCTGACGGCGGGAGAGAGGGAAGCGGGCGCCACTTTGAAACAATATTTTTTTTAATGAAATAAAAAAAACACAAACACAACAACACACAAACATTTAGAAGATTTGTTTTTTTTCCCGAGAAGTCTCCGCCGTCCCCCTCGACCTCTCGCGACGGCATCGGCAGCAGCAGCGGCGGCGGCGGCGGCAGCGTCTCACGCGAGCGCGCCATGTTCGAGACGTTCCGGGAACGGCTCCTGAACGTGCAGCAAGACCTGAGCGCCGGGTGAGCGTGCACGCGCGTACTGTAACACGTACTGTACGCATCACTGTACGCGCTGTGCGGTGCCTCGGACACCCCCCCCCTCCCCCTTGCTGCGCTGTAGCACTGTACAGGGTGGTCCAGATGTCTTGTGACCCCCCCCCCCCGTTTAATTCTCTCGAAATTAATAATTTTAAAGTAAGGGTTATTTGAAAACGTACACGAATATGCGAAGGGGTCAACATTTTGAGGGGGTCAATTAATTGGGGGGAGGGGGGGGGGTCACGAGACCCCTTGCGCGTTGCGGAAACGCGGTGCAACGTTCTTGCGGTGCTGTTAACGCGACGGAAGAGCACGACATTCCGCACTGTACACACTTATTTCGCACTGTACGCACCGATGCAACACCGCACGCACCGCACTGTACACCACATACACGCGCTGCGCACTGTACGTGCTGTGCGGCGTGCTGGTGAACGCTCCGCGTTGCGGTACAGTGGTGCTTTGTACAGTGCACCGTGTTTCAAAACTAATGGTCAAATTGACCTTTGCGTGCTGGGTCGCTTGATCTGACGGTGGTTGTCAATGTACACGTTCGCATTTACAATCTACGCGTTCGTATTTACAATCTACACATTCGTATTTACAACACATCGTAAATCTCAGGGTCTTCCGAAAGATGGACTTGTCCTGGCCATACGAATGTGGAATGTTGACCTCTTGCCTCAGGGCCTGCCTGTAGCTGATGAGCGCCGCGCTGAGGAGGCCCGTTTGAGCTGTTAACGGAATTCGGTTCGCCGGGCAAAGCTACTGCCAGCCACGTGGTGCGAAACGTCGGACATTCCGAAAGCACACCGGAGGAGCTGTAGCACATTGTAGTGGCGTGTATTACGTGGAGCGAAGGTCGGGCGGGAGTATTTATAGATCTTTATTGATACGCGCGCGGGGAGTCTTTAGTGATCTCATCTCTTTGATTTTTGCACTTAGCAGTCTCCCCTCGCTCCCTGTCTCCCCTGTCTCCCCTCTTTCCCTGTCTCTCCCTGTCTCAACCCTCCCTGTCCCCCCTCTCTCCCTGTCTCCCCTCTCTCCCCTCCCTGTCCCCCCTCTCTCCCTGTGTCTCCCTGTCTCCCCTCTCTCCCTGTCTCTCCCCTCCCTGTCCCCCCTCTCTCCCTCTCTCCCTGTCTCTCCCCTCCCTGTCCCCCCTCTCTCCCTGTGTCTCCCTGTCTCCCCTCTCTCCCTGTCTCCCTGTCTCTCCCTGTCTCTCCCCTCCCTGTCCCCCCTCCTCCCTGCCCCCCCCTCTCTCCCTGTCTCCCCTCTCTCCCTGTCTCTCCCCTCCCTATCCCCCCTCTCTCCCTCTCTCCATGTCTCTCCCCCTCCCTGTCTCCCCTCTCTCCCTGTCTCCCCTCTCTCCCTGTGTCTCCCCTCTCTCCCTGTGTCTCCCCTCCCTGTCCCCCCTCTCTCCCTGTGTCTCCCTGTCCCCCCTCTCTCCCTGTCTCCCCTCTCTCCCTGTCTCTCCCCTCCCTGTCTCCCCTCTCTCCCTGTCTCCCCTCTCTCCCTGTCTCACCTCTCTCCATGTGTCTCCCTGTCTCCCCTCTCTCCCTATCTCTCCCCCCCTCTCTCCATGTCTCCCGTCTCTCCCTGTCCCCCCTCTCTCCCTGTCTCCTCTCTCTCCCTATCTCCCTGTCTCCCCTCTCTCCCTGTCTCTTCCTGTCTCCCCTCTCTCCCTGTCTCACCCTGTCTCTCCCCTCCTCCTCCCCTGTCTCCTGGGTTCAGGCTCAAGACACTCAGTGACAGGTCGAAAGATGTCAACGTGAAACGGAAGTTGAGGTACGTTTGCAGAGCATTTAAAACACAAATTACATTTTCAACTTTGTAACATTTATTCACCGCGATCGCCGCACACTTTGTTCGCTCTGAAATGGAGAGGCTGACTCGGTATGTATGTGTGTTGAACTTGTTTCGTACCGTACGTAGCCAACTGCGCTAATGGGAGGTGCGGGGGGAAGAACAAACTTAACACAAAAAGCAGTTCCTAAAGAAATGAGTTTGTCCATCTCGACGATGATTTAAAAGTTCACGGCTCCCAGTGGCTTCCTAATATCGGAAGGAAGAGCGTTCCGGACGGCCGCAGAAGCGCATCTGAAAGCGCCGCGTGATGCGGTGACCACCGCCTTTGTTCAGATGGCTGTGCCAAAAGCCGCTGGCTGCTGTGAGGATCACCGCAGTTTGCGTGGTGATGGTTTACGCTCCTTGGCGAGACCAGCGAGGTGTTGTGGTTCATTTGTGGCGAGCACTTTGTGTAACTCGGGAGGTGCCAGAAGGAACCACGGCCAATCGAGAAGGCAGCAACAGCCAGGGGGTGAGCCACGCACTACCAATAATTGCCCAAGCTTCACGGTGCTGTATATATTAAGATGCGTCACGGTGGCGAGATGTTAACTCCCTCGCCTGGTATTCAGGAGGGTCGTGGGTTCGATCCCGACTGTGACTCCTGCTGTATATTTGGAGTTTGTGTATCTCTCTCCCCGTGGTCGCTTGGATTTTTCTCTGGGTCCTCCGATTTTTCGCTCCGTTTATAATTAACATCACGCGTTTTAGAGTATTTGGCCACTGCTATAAATTCCTACGTGATGATAAGCCACTTTGTTGAGCGATTATTTGTGGCCAGGTCGCTTCTGAAAATAGCTTATACAGCTCAGTGGGCTTATCTGTTAAAATAAAAAAAGACTGTTTAGTTTTTAAAGATAGTTTAAGACAATGAATCTGGTGTTTATACGCGTGGGAGGAAACCGGAATACACCCGGATAAAAATGATTTGTGTAACAGGGGGGCAATATGCGACTTGCACCTTTGAATCTTACCACCCGTGTATCGATAGTTCAATGTTATTATGCCATTTTATTGTGGGACTACTACTGTACTGTGTGGTTGGTATCTTGGTGTGGTCTGGGACTGCGTTGCTGTTGTTTTTGCTGCCCTGTGCAAGATTGATAAATCAGACTCGCGTAATTAATGCATCGTTTTTTTACTTATATTTAGTGACTTGCTTACCTTCGAATCGATGGTGCACTCCTATCGTTTTGTTGGCATCGTCTGTTGTTGTAAACTCGCTGAGCCCGTGCCCCGTGCTGGACATCTGTGGGGAAAAAAAGAGCGACATGTGGGGAAAAAAAGAGCTTCATAGCTCATCGAATTTCTTCCTGCAGTCTAAATGCAGATTGTGATTTCTGTACACGAGGGACAGTGTGATATTCAGTTTAAAACGTAAGCTTTCGCGACCAATATCAACCATAATACAGGTGTTTTGGGTTAGATCGCGTAAATATATAAATGTGTTGTTAAACCCGCCACCACCCGGCACAGCCGATTAGTAATGTTTAGTGTCACGTAAACAGAACGTACCAATAATTGGCTGTGTCGGGTGGTGGCGGGTTTAACGACACATTTCTATATTTGCGCGATCTAACCCAACAAAACCTGTTAAGTTTGAAATTCTTCCACGTTTTTGCTGTACCACCACCACCTTCCGTTGGCAAGCCCGGGGTACATCGCTCCCCCTCGACACCCACGGGAATGGGAGTTTCGCAACATTTGTGCGCTCTGCCCCGCCGCTCTCTTTCTGCAGTCTTCACAGTGCCAGGCAGTTTTTTTTTTAATTGAAAGTAGGAATTGGTGAGAACGAATTGCCACACTTCTGTGTCGGATGCCAGAAAAGCATTTTTTTTTTCTCATGAGCAATGGATGTCTGTGGTGTAACATACATTAAGTAATAATAATAATCTAATATCCTTTAAATGCTTCCCCATGCCTTGTTGGTCATTGTCAGGGCTCTTTCACCATACTTCACCATGCTTCACCACACGGGTCGGTGAATTTGGGTGAGAGAGGGGGGGTGGGTAGCCTTGACTGGGTGTTCAGATATCCAACTCGGATTGCCGGGTTCTATCATAGCGTATTCACGCTCATCGCTGCGCCGCCGTACCACCGCGTGACAACGTATACACATGGGTAAAGTATGGTCTTGTGTAGATTAGCCGCTTGGCCTTCAGCATTTTGTTTATGCGGGCAGTTTTTTAACCCCATGTTGACTCTTTAATTCTCATCAGCTGTTAGGCCTGCCATGCAAATGCTGCAGCGTTGGCAGAAGTAGTTACCGTAAGCACTCAGCCATTAATTTTTTAAAGCAAAGTCTCTTGGTTTACGAGCGAGACCATCGGGTGGAATCAATTAAAAGTACAGGAACTCCTCTACTTACGAACGAGTTAGGTTCCAGAGGTCTGTTCGTCAGTCGATTTGTTCGTAAGTCGAACTTTACTCCTGTCGATTGCAAACACGTTGTACAGCGTGTACACTAAACACGGGGATCACTTTAAAAGTTGTATCATCTCCTGCAGGTGTAGATGCCACTAGTTATTCACGTTCTGCAGATATAGATGGCACTGATTCTTCATGTTCTGCAGATGTAGATGGCACTGATTCTTCATGTTCTGCAGATGTAGATGCCACTGGTTCTTCATGTTCTGCAGATGTAGATGCCACTGGTTCTTCACGTTCTGTAGATGTAGATGCCACTGGTTCTTCATGTTCAGCAGATGTAGATGCCACTGGTTCTTCACGTTCTACAGATGTAGATGCCACCGGTTCTTCACGTTCTGCAGATCTAGATGCCACTGGTTCTTCGCGTTCTGCAGATGTAGATGCCACTGGTTCCTCACGTTCTGCAGATGTAGATGCCACTGGTGCTTGACGTTCTGCAGATGTAGATGCCGCTGGTTCTTCACGTTCTGCAGATGATGATGCCACTGGTTCTTCACGTTCTGCAGATGTAGATGCCACTGGTTCTTCATCTTCTGCAGATGTAGATGCCACCACCGCCATCTATTGCGCAGCAGTTGAACTTACGACTCTCGGTCCGGGCAGGCTTATCTCTGAAAGTTCCTAAGTCGAATGTTCGTAAACAGAGGAGTCCCTGTACGACGCAGGCATTTTGTAGATTTTCAAACGGGCGTACAGTTCAGACACTTAACCTGTGGGTAGTCATTTATACAATCATGAAGTGGCCCTTTTTACTTTGGCATAGTAGACCATTCAGGTAGGACTGTGAGTCTGTTATAAATCAGTCTGGGCAGCTCTCCGGGGAAGGTTGAAACGGCTCTCGTAAAACACCGCGGTGTGTCGGGACGTGCGCGGGCTGCACTGGGAATAGGTGGTGGCAGTGCGCTTCGTGTGCACGTGTCCAGACCATCGACTTGCTCCGTACGTAAAACGCTCTACAGCAGGGGTCGGCAACCTGTGGCTCGCGAGCCAGATGTGGCTCTTTTGATGACTGCATCTGGCTCGCAAATAAATCTTAGCTGACATTTCTTTAGTTGTAATTCAGTGTTAAAAAATATTATATGGCTCTCACGGAAATTTATTTTAAAATATGTGACTTTCATGGCTCTCTCAGCCAAAAAGGTTCCCGACCCCTGCTCTACAGCATTCGTCAGTCACGCTGCCGTGCCCTTAGAAGGAAAAAATACGCTTAGGCGGCGACGTTTCGGGCAACGGCCCTTCTTCACGGCGCGTAAATAGAACGACGGCAAAGAACGTTCCGCACGGGGGATGTTTGGTCACGTCCACCTCCGATCAGCGCGGTTGGCGACGTACGGTGCGAAAGAAGTTAAAACATAAACGCGTGCACGTGGGAGAGAACCGGAGTGTGCGGGGAACACCCCTGAGTGCGAAGGATTAACGAAATGCCCCACACGAATGGATGCTACCCATTTACTGTGCTACTATCCTGTGGCCATCTGGCAGCCCAAGCCTGGTGTTCCCTGGCAGTCTCTGATCCATGATTTAATCGTACGCCAAGCACAAACCTGCTTGGCTTATGATTAATTAATAAGGTGAGGTTAATTCGTGGTCATTTGCTCGATTTTGTCTAAATGACATGCTGTACGTTAAATAATTTTGCATGGGTATATATATTTAACATTTAACATGTATAATATAAAATGTAACAATAACATAGTAACAACTACTGCTCAGGAAAGACACGTATTCAGCTGTAGCAATGAGTAAACAACTATTATCTTTGAGTAAATATGTAACCGGAGTGATTCATATCTCTGAGGGTTTGTGATCACACGTAGGAATAATGTCACGGACGTTTTATTACAATCGGCGCTTGCCAGGTTTTGTAGGTACGATGCTTGCTCCTGGAGCTGTGAATTAAACCCATCTGCCCCGGAGCTGCGTGATTGTCAACCCAGATCCCCTTGTACGTGCACGGTGACTTTTTTGGTTTGGCCAAAACGTTCAAGCGCGGGAGCCTCCTCCAAACGGGTCTCGAGACGGCGATAGTTTTTACGAGATACACTAATGAACATTGGTATTATTGTTTTAGCAATTGTATTTCGATTTAAGGCTTTCGTGACTGCAGGGATTCATATTCTTGGTTCTTTCGGTAAAGTCACCACGTAGAAGGGAAACAATAAAATAATAAAAATATAAAACAATAAAATTCTAACGACGTTTCGACTGCAACACAAGCAATCATCTTCAGGTGTGAAAACTACGGCAAGAAAATTTGAAAAAAGTGGCGGGTTTTTTTTCAAATTTTCTTGCTGTGGTTTTCACACCTGATGATGATTGCTTGTGTTGCAGTCGAAATGTCGTGAGAATTTTATTGTTTTATATTTTTATTATTTTATTGTTTCCCTTCTACGTGACTTTACCGAAAGAACCAATAATATTGGTATTATTGTTTAAACAATTGTATTTCGGTCGAATTGCCAACTATCCTTAATAACGTCACACTATCGATTTGTGTCAGCGGTTGGTACTGTTGCTCCTTAATCCGCAATCTTATTTCAGGTTTGCTTATTTTATTTACGCCAAACGGCGATGTGTTTTATAGCTTCCTTAGAACATCCCTCTCGCCCTACGAAAGTGAAATTCTATCCGTTAGCTGTCAGACCGTTCTAAATAAAGCAGGTTATTGATTGGAGCGTTGTGTGTGCTTGCGAGTGAGTGTGTTCGTGCGCGCGTGTGCTTGCGTGTTGCGTCTGTGTGTGAGAATGTGTTTGTGTGTATCACTATATGGGCACCTGTGTGGGGAGCGGTATGCGCGCTGCACTACAAACCCGGTGGGGCGAGTTCGATTTCCGTTCCCGGTCAACACCAGTGACGATTATCTCGACCGGTTCTGGGCATCTCATCGGTCGACTCCGCCTCAAATGAGTACCTGATGGGGTGTGTAAAAACATCGCCACTGGGAAGACAAAAGCGGCCAGGCGTGGTGCTGGCCACCCACCCCCTCATGTGCCGTGCCAGCCTTTATAGGTGCTCACTAACAGCACTTGCCCCAAAAAGGCTATACGGGTGATGTTTGTCTTTGTCTTTTGACAGCAAACAAGACGAATATGATCCTTGCCTGAACGCAGGCACTGAGTTGCTGAACAGGTAAGACTCAAGTCACCGCATTGCGAATAATCACTTCACATGAATAGTATCTTCAGTACAGATCATTTTCTCAGTCCACTCCTGTATGAGGGCCTCACCTCACATCACCATCCTGACATCACCATCCTGACATCATCACACTGACATCATCACACTCACATCATCACACTGACATCATCACACTGACATCACATCACCCTGATATCACTGTTACATTGCAATTATGGCTTTATTTTTTGGTGATTTCCAAAACGTTTTTTGGTTTGGACATGTTTGTTTTGTTGTAGTACGGAGTTAGACTGATGGCCTTAATCTAAGTTGTCTTGTGGTTGTTGTTGCTTGACTTGCATCCCACTGGGATTTTTTGCACACAGCGTTGGTGTACGGTGCTTTTTTCAGGAATATTTTGTTGTTTTTTTCATGGATTTTCTGTTTGCACAAACTCACACATAGTCACTTTAAGATGTTTTCTTGTTCGTGTTTTTGTTTTTTGTTTGTTGTGGTTGCACCCGATTCAAGAGCCGAATGGCTCACTGGGCTATACCAAAATAAATAAACTAAAAGAAAAAACTGAAAAAAAAATCACACATCATCACCCTGACATCATCACACGATATTATCACACTGCCATCATCACCCTGAAATTGCCGGCACCGTTGTGCTAATTTTAGTCGCGTGATGATGATGAGCATGGTGAAGTCTGATTTCCTGTCCGATCTCAACCGTCCCTTCCATGGAATCCAGATATGAGGACAGCTGGTCGGAGCTGCACAGACAGGCCGAGGCCTGCGCTAGGCTGGGAGAGGTAAGGACAACACTTTCCGTTTCTTGTACCTACACGTGCCGTATGTGTGTCGAACTTCGTTTGCACCGTACCTAGCCAACCGTGGGAATCGGAGATGCGCGGGAAGGACAACAATCTTAACACAAAAAAAGCAGTTGTCAAGAAGTGAGTTTTAAAGGGCATAGCTCCAGTGGCTTCCTAATATCGGAAGGAAGAGCGTTCCAGACGGCCGCAGAAGCGCTTCTGAAAGCGACGCGCGATGCAGTGACTATCTTTGTTCGATGGCTGAGCCAAAGCCGCTGCTGAAAGGATGACCTGAATTTGCGTGTTGATGGTTTATGCTCCTTGATGAGATCAGTGAGGTGGTATTGTGGTTAATTTTCGGCAAGCACTTTGTGTGTAACGAGTGCGCACTGTATGCAGCCAACCGCGCAAACCGGAGGGGCGGCGGAAGGACAGCAAAGTAAACGATGTTGCTGGAGGAAGGAAGAAAATGAATACAGCAACGTAAAAAAACACTGCTCCAAATGGCCGTAGAGTGACGGACTGAAATGCCACGTTATAAAACAAAAAATATTTTTAACTTGTAACATTTCGCTGCCGCCACTACCACCATCAAATAGAAAGGATGACTCTGTATGTACTTACGAACGTTGAACTTCTTTCGCGACGTACGTAGCCAACCGTGCTAACCGGAGATGCAGGAGGACAACAAACGAAACGCACAAAAAAGCAGTTCTTAAGGAAATTCGTTTTCAATTTAGGTTTAAAGGTACTTTGCTCGTATCGTACATACGGCCTTCGTGTCAATCCACTGCCTGCTGAGGCCCTCCCCCACGCCGTGGCAGTCGTGGGAGATATATGACGCGAGAGTGATTTGCAAACTGGTCCTTCGTCTCTTGTAGGTTGACTCGGTTTTAAATTGAGGGGTGCTGAATGTGCTTCTGGCCATACACCACCAACGTGGGTGCCTTGCCAGCTTTCGTAGTTGCTCGCCAACAGCACTTGTCCAAACAGCCTGTGCGGCTCATGGGGTGTGGGTCTTTGTATGCATGTCTACTTACGTGTGTGTGTCCGTGGGGACCGGTAGTGTATTGGTTAGCATACTACCCTATGAACCAGCAGACGCGAGTTCAATTCCCGCTCACGACCCGATAACAGTAGTCGGCCTTCAACGGGCACCTGATTCAGCCGTTGGGGAGACAAAGGCGGCCGGGCACGTTGCTAGCGACACCGCTCGGCGCGCGTGACGTGCCAGCCTCGGTAAGTGCTCGCTTGCAGCACTTGCGCCAGAAATCCGTGAAGGCTTTACGGGGGTCCTTTGTCTGTGTGCGTGCGTGCGTGCGTGCTCGAGAGGGAGTGGACGCGCTGGCCACCGCCGTCTCGGCCTCGTGGGAGCAGCGCTGCTTGCGGCTTGCCGAGCTCACGGCCCAGATGCGTCTTCTGCCGTCGGTGGTGACTCAGCTGGACTCGCTGCTCGCGACGCTCGGTACCACGGACAGCAGGGCGCCGCCTTACACCGCGTTGCCGCTACGCGTGGCACGTTGTGCCCCAAACTTGCCACGACACACCACGTTGACCGCGACACGCACCGTGACACGGCGTCACGCGCGTGCCCCTCCCGCCACGCACCGCATCTGTCCCGCGACATGCCCGCGTCACACCCCCGCACACCGCTCCGTGACCGCACTGCGACGTCACCCCGGGTCACACCGCGTCGCGCCACCGTCGCGCCGCGGTCGCGCCACGACAGATCCGTGACGCACGCCGGCGACGTGCCGAACCGGCAACCGCGGTCGGGGGTGGAATTATGCCGTGCCGCCCAATGTTGAGCCCCCTCCCCCGTGCTGCCCCTCCCCCCGTGTGCGTGCACCCCCAGGTCAGCTGGAGGGAGAGTGCGAGGAGCTGGAGGACCGGCTGGGCCACCTGGAGGACATGTGCGAGGAGTGCGAGCTGCGCAGGGCCACGGAGCAGCACGCTCGCGACGCACTCGCTTACGAGCAGCGCAAAGGGTGGGGGCGGGTCGTGGGGGGTTGTAGGGGGGTCGTGGGGGGTTGTAGGGGGGTCGTGGGGGGTTGTAGGGGGTCGTGGGGGGTTTGTAGGGGGTCGTGGGGGGTTGTAGGGGGTCGTGGGGGGTTGTAGGGGGTCGTGGGGGGTTGTAGGGGGTCGTGGGGGGTTGTAGGGGGTCGTGGGGGGTCGTAGGGGGTCGTGGGCTCCGGAGGCTCAGGGTCGCGCGAGAAGCCAACTCGGACCCTTAGACAGTTTCGCGATTCTAGGACGTAGGTTTCATGATACTAGGCTGTAGATTTGGCAATACTAATACGTAGGTTTCGCGATACTAGGCCGTAGGTTGCACGATATTAGGACGTAGGTTTCACGATACAAGGACATAGGTTTCGCAATACTAGGCCATAAGTTGCACAATACTAGAACGTAGGTTTCGGACGTGCTAACCGATGCGGGTACTTGTTATCGTGAAGTGGCTGTTCACTCGGGCAGAGGGCGTCAGCCCATTAGAATCGCGATTCAGATTATGTGCGTACGTGTGTTCAACTCCTTTCGAACCGTACGTAGCCGACCGTGCTAATCGAAGGTGCTATTATGGAGCGGGTCCTGGGGGAGTCGGGTGGGGCAGCTCACGGAGCAGGGAACGACCAAAGGCCGAGAATTGTAATGGTCCGAGCCGTTGAGAGACGATGGCAGTCTGGCCTGGCCGGGTTTCAGCCCTTTAGGTCGGCAACACTCCCTTGGCAGTGGCTGTGGAAGTGAGGGATTTGCCACCGACCCTCGGTTTACGAACGCTGTTTTGTAAAACCCTGTGTGCTTTTCTTTTGTTTCATGCCAGCCCGATTGAAAAGGAATTGGAGTGAGCCTTCCTTTGCATTTTTACTCTCCTTGTGTCTGTGTTTGCTCCGTGTGTGTGTCTGTGTTTGCTCCGTGTGTGTGTGTGTGTGTCTGTGTTTGCTCCGTGTGTGTGTGTGTGTGTATGTTTGCGCGCATGTGCGTTTCTCTTCGTTGCTCTGCCACGCAGTACTTACATTCGTTTTTTGGTTATTTGCAACAACAATAATAAAAAAAAACGACAAGACGGAGAGGGAAGTGGAAACATGACGAAATGTGCAGTGGACACATCCTGGACTATCTGCCCATGTATCGTAACGACGATTATGATGACCTGCCTCGGCCTGGCCTGGCATGGCCTTGCCTGGCATGGCCTGTTTGCTGAATCAGTTGTCCACTTGTTCAAATTATTCAAATTCTCAAACAGAAATGTGAAGAGGCTGCCGGAAAGCGGTGCCACGTCGTTGGCAGCGGTGGCGCGCCCGCTAACGCTGCTTTGCAGTTATCACCGCTATCTCTGAGAATTAATACATCAGTCTTAATCGTGATAGGATGAACATTACTCTCCTGCGGCAGGCTGGATGGGAAACTGCCGCCCTCCACTCTGTGTGGACCGGAGGTCACTTACGGGGATCTCGGAGGTCATCGTCATCATCGTCACGACCTATGGGCAGATAGCCCCGTAGGTCTCCACGGCACACTTCATCATTTGTTTCCATTTTCCTCTCTGTCTTGTAGTACCAATACGCTCAAGGTAGTGGCCACATCTTTCTGGCACCAATCTCTTCTTATGTCGTTATCGTCAAGCCATTCTCTGTGACGTCTTCCCTCTCTTTCAGGTTCCTTCTGTTATTCCAAACAACACACTTTAAGATTTCCTGTTGTCCATCCTACATGTGTGTCCAAATCCTTTCTCATCATTGCCTGTATCATCATCATCATCAGGTCGTCTTCTTCAATGGTGCAACATTTTTTTCCTTCTATGTTGGTCACTCTTCGGGCCCAGTTTAGATGCGCTATCCTTCTACAGCAATACATTTCGAATGCCACAATATCTTATCACTGCCAGTCTTATTTTTTACTGTCCAAGTCTCGCAGGCATACAAAGCTGTACTGAACACGCATGTTCTTAACATGTTCAGTTTGAACGGTAGAACAATGCCACAGTACAGCAGACGCACAATGGGCGGTGACGCGTCCCAGCGTCGGCGCTGCTCGTTGTTCGCAGAGGTTCTTCGCGGTTCGAATCCAGTGGCCACCCTGGTTAATACTGCGGGCGTGTGATAACTACACGCCGTCAAGTACGGCAAAGTCATCTCGAAGACCCGAGTTGACGTGGGGAGGCCCTCATCCAGCAGTGAATTTGCAAATGGGATTTACATGACAGGGTAATGCTAATGGTAACATATCTGGATATTTTTTTGTAATCTGTAAAAAATTAGTTGCCGATCAATCTATTGCATGGTATAAGTAAATTACACTTGGCTTCATCATTCTCTCGTCAAACGACGGTACGAGCAGAGGATTGCAAGAGTCCTTCAAATGTACAATTCTATAAGTTCAATTCTGAAGCCAGATTGAGAGGGTGGCGCGGTGGTAATGCTCGTGTCTCACAGCAAGCAGGCCCTGGGTTCGATTCCCGACCCGGGCACTTTTCTGTGTGTGGAGTCGTCTGAATGTTATCTGTTTAACACGTAGGCTTTCGCGACCAATATTATTCATAATAAAGGTTTTTGGGTTAGATCACGTTATTTATAAATGTGTCGTAACCCTCCACCACCCGACACGGCCAATCAGCAAATGATTGGCCGTGTCGGGTGGTGGAGGGTTACGACACATTTATAAATAACGCGATCTAACCCAAAAACCTTTATTATGAATGAATGTTATCTGCATGGGATTCTTTCCGATTTAAAGCTTTCGTGACTGCAGGGATTCATCTTCTTGGTTCTTTCGGTAAAGTCACGTAGAATGGAAATGAAATAATTATAAAATAATGTTTTATTTTGATTATTTTATTTCCATTCTACGTGACTTTACCGAAAGAACCAAGGAGATGCATGGGATTCCTTCAGTTTCCCCATCTTACCTCCATCGTTAAAAACGACGCGTCCAGGGCAACCGGTATTGGCCGAAACATCGCAATGCTGGAAACAAAGTTACCTGCACATTTACTCCGCTTAAACATCAGCATCATCAGCAACATCGCCCGCCCCTACTACGAAACAAAACGACGACAGGACCTTCCTGAAAACGAATCTTGAGACTCGGTTAGGCTTTTCGAGGTGGCTAACAAATCACGGTTATCGCCACGGTGCGAAGTTTGCCATCCCCAAGGGGAAGCCACCCCCTCTCCAACCTGCCCCCCCCCCCTCCCGTGCCTTCGCCTTTTGTGTTTCTTAAAGAAGGCGCCAGAGGCATCGCCGTCATTTTCCTCCCCCCCCCCCTTCGCCGATTCGTCGGCGCTGTTGTCGTTCTGATTGCGGTGCAATTGCGCCGCGTGATTTGCCGTTCAAGTGTGTGGGGGTGGGGGGGGGGGCGCCATAGCTCCCGTAATTCTGGTTGGCTACGCCGTGCGTGGGCGCTTGGGGTGCGCGTCGGCTGTGTGTGTGTGTGTGTGTAGGGGAGCGGTAGTGTAGTGGTTAGCGCTACGCTGCGCTGCGAACTTAGCGACCCCGGTTCGATTTCCGCTCACGGCCAACACCGGTGACGATTATCTGAACCGGTCGTGGGCCTCCCCTAGGTCGAATGTGTACCTGGTGCGATGTGTAAACGTCGCCGCTGGGGAGTGCCGGCCACCCACCGCCTCGTGTGCCGTGTCAGCCTTCATAGGTGCTCGCTGACAGCGCTTGCCCCTGCAGTCTGTTAAGTTTATACGGGGGATCTTTGTCTTTTATTTGTAGGTGCTCGCCAACAGCACTTGCCCCCACAGAACAGTCTGTTACAGGCTGTACGGGAATCTTTGTCTTTATATTTGAGGGGAGCGGTAGTGTGGCGGTTAGTGCACTGCGCGACTAACCCAGCAACCAGAGTTCGATTCCCGCTCGCGGCCAACACCAGTGACGATTATCTGGCCCTCCCCTAAGTCGACTCAGCCTCAAATGAGTACCTGGTGTGGTCTGTAAAAAACATCGTCACTGGGTAGACAAAGGCGGCCGGGCGTGGTGCTGGCCACCCACCCCCTCGTGTTCCGTTCCAGCCCTCATAGGTGCTCGCTCACAACACTTGCCCCGACAGTCTGTTAAGGCTATATATGTGTGTGAGATAATTCCTGTAGATAGTGTTGTCAATTGACGATGTATTCATGCTAATTACGCGTTTGCTTTCTTCACAGGAAAGAGCACGAAGCCTTCAAAAGTAAGTAAAGCGTTTCTTTAATACAAATGTTCACGTTCACTGGGATTGCTTTGTCTCAACATTTTACCAAAACGAAGTTTACGGGGTAGACGCCCACAGGGGGAGTGTCTGTAAAGCTGAAATCAAGGAATGACAAGTGACATCGATGTGTGTTGGCGATAACCTATGGAAACCAAATATAACGCTATTTCAACAGTCGAGAATCACCGTTGGCGCCACTGGCCGTGATCGGTCCACTGCTTCTCTTGGGGGTCCGTTAGCTTAATCGATCAATCGACCCAGTTGTATATCATCGTCAACGTCTCGACTGCATTATCATCCTCTCTACTGCATCATCATTATCTTGACTGCATCATCTCTACTGCATCATCATCTCTACTGCATCATCATCATCATCTCTACTGCATTATCATCATCTCTACTGCATTATCATCATCATCTCTACTGCATTATCATCATCATCATCTCTACTGCATCATCATCATCATCTCTACTGCATTATCATCATCTCTACTGCATTATCATCTCTACTGCATTATCATCATCATCATCTCTACTGCATTATCATCATCATCTCTACTGCATTATCATCATCATCTCTACTGCATCATCGTCATCTCGAATGCATCATCATCATCTCTACTGCATCATCATCATCTCTACTGCATCATCATCATCCTCCCTACTGCATCATCATCATCTCTACTGCATCATCATCATCCTCCCTACTGCATCATCATCATCTCGATTCGTCTTCACCATCACCACTACTTGACTGTGGTACGATGCCACGTCAGTTGGTGACGTGGCCAACTCAAATCCCAGCGCTTCCCTCCCATCCCATCCCCGTTACGTCAAGGGCCCCGTTAAAAATAACAACTCATCACCCCTGGGGGACCCATATGCCTCTGCTCCCTGGGATCCCAAACCCTTTAGCGTGACCTTGGCCAGCACCTGCAGCCAAAACATTCGCTCGCGAACTGGCTCCTCCCCCGCTCGCCCGCCCACTCAACAGCGCTCGCTAAATTGTTTACACTAAAACGATTTATTTTATTTTACCAGGTGAGGCCCACTGAGCTGTATTTTGCTCTTTTTCACAAGCGACCTGGCTACCACAAATGATTGCTCAACGAAATGATTGCCCATCCACTTACCAACCCTCGCTAAACTATTTAAACTAATCATGTTTTTATCCATAATAGAGGCTTTTTGGGTAAGATCACTTAAATATATAAATGTGTCGTTAAACCCGCCACCACCCTGCACAGCCAATTAGTAAGGTTTGTCACATAAACAAAACATGCCAATTAGTTTTATTTAATAATACTAAACTTTTTTTTATTTTACCAGGTAAGGCCCTCTGAGCTATGTAGCTCTTTTTCAGAAGCGACCTGGCCACAAATGATAGCTCAACGGAAGTGGCTTATCATGTGGTTATTCATAGCAGCCAAATACTAATAAACGCGTGACGTCGATTCTAAACGTGGAGGGAAATCCACGCGACCACGGAAATTCCAGTTATACAGCAGGCGTCAGGGTCGGGAGCGAACCCACGACCTCCTGCATACCAGGCGAGGTGGTTAACTTCGAGCCACCAGCGGCCACGTTCGTGCACACACAATACAATGGTGTGGTGGGTATGGACAAAATTACGGTTTTGCCTCATCCAGTTCCTTCCTTGCTTGCACGCACGCTCCGTGTTCCTGTTGCTGCTGCTGCTGTTGTTGTTGCTGTTGTTGTTGCTGTTGTTGTTGCTGTTGTTGCGGAGTAAATTCTTGGAATACGCGGAGAGAGCGGCGTGCAGGTGTGGTGGTTGTCGGCTGGCAGGAAGCCCACGGGATGTTTCTGGGAGCGGTCTTGTTTGGCGCTTGCCGGCGTTCCCCGGCGATAACCGAGCTGAACCAAACGGTTAATTTGACTGCTTTTGGGTTATACTGCAAATAGATACCTTCGCAATTGGTCGGTGGTCCGTATATATCGACATATAATTGTATTTGTAGATCAGTGTCCCCGTCTTCGGATGAGATGTGGAAGGTTATGTATTGGGCGGGGTGAGGATTCTGTATCGGTTAAGACGAGCATTCTGTATCGGATAGGATGAGGAATCTGTGTTGGATGGAATGAAGATTCTGTATCGAATGAGTTTTTTTTCATAATATGGGATGAGGATTCCTTATTGGATCAGACTAGCGTTCTGTATCGGATGGGATGAAGATTCTTTATTGGATGGCATGAGGATTACATGTCGGATGAGGCTAGCATTCTGTATCAGATGGGATGAGATTGGTGTATCTGTCAAGGCAAGGGTTCTGTATCGGATTGGACGGGGGTTCTGTATCCTTCTAGACGAGTGTTTCGAACTGTGGACAAATGGGAATTTCAGCGGCTTCTTATCCCGGAGAAGACAAAAATCCACTGCAACAATTTTACCGCACCACCCCCTCCTACGACTGTCTGACCCCCCCCCACTCCCCCGCCATCACCCTCGCACTCAAATCCACGTCGCTGCCTTCCCCCGAGCCTCTCCGCCGCTGCTGGTACGGTCACGGGCGGCGGCTTCACTTCCTTTTGCCGCTGACTCGGCAGTTCCGAGAGCCGCTCTGACTCTCCTTAATGAGAACAGAACGATCGATCGCTCGATCGCTCGCACTCCCGCAGCTGCCAGGCGGTTGCGCCTCTGTTGCCAGCCCTCGTCGGCGATCGTGGGCAAGCATGCGCCGTTAATTTCCCCGTTAAACGTCGTGATCGCGGCGATTGGCATCGTCGCGGTCGTCGTCAGCGGTGGCTTTGGAGATGTTAACTACCTCGCCTGGTATGCAGGAGGGTCGTGGGTTCGATTCCGACGTTGACTCCCGCGTCTCTCTCTCGCCCCGTGGTCGCGTGGATTTTACTCCGGACCCTCCGGCGTTTCCCCTCCACATTTAGAATCAACATCACGCGTTTAGAGTATTTACACGTGATAAGCTGTTTCGTTTCGCTGTCATTTGTGACCACGTCGCTTCTAAAAAAAAAGCTACACAGCTCAGTTGATACAAACGTATAACATCTTTGCGTGATCCACCAACTCCCTGCGGCCGAGTTAATCGATTACGCAGTACCGCTCACGGCCGTGGGTTCATAACAGTAATAACAACAGCATGAATAATTAACGACGAAGGGAAAACATGCGGCTGACGTGACGTTAATACGCGAGCAGATTAATTAATAAGTAAGCATTCGGGACAAATGCGCTTCAATTATTTAGCGGCGGGAGCGATGGACGTAGGATAGGAGGAGGTTTCTCCTTTCCTCGTTGAATGAGTTTTAGAAATGTTTTCCCCGTAGCTCACGAAACCCGAGAGCACGCAGTGTCCACTTCCATCGTTCGCTGGCGGTGACAACATGCAGACATTCACCAGGCGACGTGGATCTCCGTGCGAGGAGACTATGGGTCTCTGTGTGAGTCTGTAGCTTTCTGTTCGTGACTATGGTTCTCTGTATGAGTCTACGGTTTTCTGTATGAGTCTATGGATCACTTTGTGAGTCCGTCTCTGCGAGTCTATGGTTTTCTGCGCGAGTCTTTGGATTTCTGAGTGGATCTCTTTCTGAGTCTCTGGGTCTGTGGGTCTCTGCGTGAGTCCGTTATGAATATATATTGCTGATCAACTCCTTGCTGTTTGAAATAAGCTGACAAGTCGTCATTGACCAGGTTGTAGAACACAACAAACTACTTTAAATCATTAATACAACTTAATATTTTCCCCCAACTTTATCTCGAGTTGATTTGAAGCTTTCGTGACTGCAGGCATCCATACTCTTTGGTTCTTTCGGTAAAGTCACGTAGGTAGAACAAAAATAGATCCCGACGTTTCGATCGCAACACAAGCAATCGTCATCAGCAGTTTTTTTCTTGCTGTGGTTGTCCCACCTGATGACGATTGCTTGTGTTGCGATCGAAACGTCGGGATCTATTATTTTTTTATACCTACGCGACTTTACCGAAAGCACCAAAGACTATTCATCTCGAGTGTGCCGTCGGCATCGTGCCTTGAGATCAACAATCTATTGGGAACCCGCAGGGTAGTAGTGCAAGCCTTGCTGTTTGAGAACGGCCCCGCGGAAGCGGACACCGCAGAGCTAACTTTGAGTTGCCTTCCTGCTCCCTGTGATCTACGCAGTTGGAGCCATCACCCTCCCACCCCCTCTGTCTTGGTGGTCAAATTGATACCCATATATGCCCAACATCGTACCTCCGATTAGCACGGTTGGTTACGTACAGTGTGAAAGAAGTTTAACATGCACACATACGTACATACGTCAGTGGAGAGTGATATCTCAACTGGTCTTGGGCCTCCCCTAGGTCGACTCGGCCTCAAATGAGTACCTGGTGCGATGTGTAAACGTCGCACCAGGTACTCATGTGTAAACGTCACCACTCGGGAGACAAAGGCGGCCGGGCGTGGTGTTGGCCACCCACCCCCTGGTGTGCCAGGCCCGCCTTCTTAGGCTCTCGCTAATAGCGCCTGCCCCAATAGTTTGTTCACCCTACAAAGGGGGATCTTTCTCTTTGTGCGAGATCGAACGCACGATCGTAGGTTTGTGTCGAGCAATGGATAGACCGTAGCTGGGTAGGTGGCTCGCAGCACTTGCCCCAGCAGCCCGTGTCTTTGTGTTTGTGCGAGGGTGCGTGTGGGCGCGTGCGGGCGCGTGCGTTGGTGTCGTCAGCTACGGATGGACCGTAGCTGACGACGACGAATAAGCAGACGTAGGGACGTGCGCTGGTAATCCTCCCGCTCCGCATAGGCGACCCCGAATTATCCGTGCTCATCCCCCCCCCCCCCTCTTCCTGCGCCACTGGCCGTGCAGCGCGGAATACAAATGCGCAGCGTCGGGAAATAAATAAATATATGGACACACGAAATACATGAGAAGTCCCCATCACCCCCACCATCCCATCCACCACCACGTCCCCAGCACCACCACTACCTCCCCGCTACCACCTCCCCACCACCACCTCCTCT